TTAATGATATGCGCTTATTTTTTTTCTAACCCTGTACATTGTGAATCACGCGCGGTTCAATTTAAAATTATTGCCCCGACTAAAATAAGTGGCCTAATTTCTTCATTTTGTTTTATCGACTTGTCCATACGCCTCGGATTGTTGTGGTAGATCTAGCCTTGTTTTATTTACTTCTACCTGTATATTTTCTGTCTTACATAGGTGTGAAAAAGTCATTAAAATCGAAATCTACGAACAGTGTTGGCCTTAACCATCCTTTATTACTTAATCTATTGACAATAGCTCTTATTACACCTTATTTTATCTTGCTAGAATCTTCTACCCATTACATAAAACAATTAGCACTGTATAAAAGATTTTTTTCTAGTGATATACAGATAATGTATGCCACTGAAACAAGACACTTATAAGAAATACGTTTTTATTTCAAAAATCATGAATTTTTTTTGCAAAAAAGATTTTTTTTGTCTTGGTGAGCTGGCACCCAGAAGTAGGAGGATTTTATTTTCTTTGCCTAATTTGTTCAGCTTCTCTAGGTATTCTTTGACCAACTTCGAATTGTTGGTTACTGAGTTGATCGCTTTTAGTGCTGCTTGACTATCAGATAAGATGGCTATTTGGATATAGGCTATATAGAAGACGGCTATACAGGGTTGTTCACCACATACAACACGGAGTATTGTAGCTAAACGATTAGATTTTTACCAATTGTAAGTTTTGGGTTCGTTGAAGGACTATTAGAGCTACAATTTAAAAATATTTTTACAAGATACAGAGTGTCCCAAATAAGTAAAAAATATTATAGTTGTATTTTTTTAAATGGAACACCCTGTATATTATTCTATTTTTGCATTCTACGATTGAAATAAAGGTAAATTTGATTAAGGTTTATCACACTTAAACCAAACTTAAACCTTACCGTTTTTGAAATATTTTCAATTTTATGAAATTGCAGTAAAAATTTAATGTTTTTTTGTATGCCAATGGGCTTGCAATATTTACCACCTGTACATTTTGTACATATTATGGTGCTATAAAAAAATCTGAAATGTCATTATTCCATGGGTATAGTGATAAATGAGGTCTAAATTATAAGAAAATGCATTTTCTACGAAAACTTGAAGAGATGGGTAAAAAATGGTATAATACAATTTGATAGACAATTACATTGTGCATCTGATTCACGTAAAATATATAGGGTGTTCTATTTAAATTAAACAAGTTATTGCCGTTAAAAACTAGTAATTATTTAATATAAATTTTTGGACACTCTGTATAAGGTAGTAAAATTTTTATTATTGCAACACAATATCTGATCAATAAATAATCTTCAGTAAAAATTTGGTATTAAAAACTTTGATACCCTGGGAGAAATAAAGCCTTAAAATTTTTACTGCAATTTGCTAAAATTGAAAATATTTCAAAAACGGTAAGGTTTAAGTATGATAAACCTTAATCAAATTTACCTTTATTTCAATCGTAGAATCCAAAAATCGAATAATATACAGGGTGTTACATTTAAAAAAATACAACTATAATAATTTTTACTTATTTGGGACACTCTGTATCTTGTAAAAATATTTTTAAATTGTAGCTCTAATAGACCTTCAACGAACCCAAAACTTACAATTTGTAAAAATCTAATCGTTTAGCTACAATACTCCGTGCCGTATGTGGTGAACAACCCTGTATAGATGGCTAAGGATGCTGGAGTAAATCACGCTCCTAATATTTTTAGGGTCTGTCTCGAACTAAAATGTTATTCCCACGCCTACTGTGACGTTTTTTTTTTCAGTTACACTGTATTAAGTGATTTAAAAGCTAGTTATAAACCGATCACAAAAGAAGATACATGCATACATTATTTATTTTAAATTTGTTTTATTTATTTTTCTGTTAAAATGAATACGTCACCTGTGTATATTCAGAAAGGTGCACTCAAGCATGAATGGTTTAGGTCGATGTATCTTACCCAAAATAACAGCTATTACTTCAGTCTACTATTTCTTAGTGCTAAATAAGCTAAATAAAGTTGAAGATTCTTAGAAGTTAAATGGGCTAAAGAGGACAAATGAGGTACTAAATCAATTCACGACATACGTTCGTTACCCCCAGATGTGGATTCTTACTTTATTTGTTACTTTATGCACACTTTTATTATTAGCGCATATAATTATAGAGAAATTATGATTCTAGGCACATACTATTAATTATTAACAACACTGACTTCTAAAAGACTTAATTATTATATTCAGACGTCAATTCAATTCATTCGTACCGATCAAATTTCACGAAAAAGATTTATTGCTAATTGTTCTTAATCTAAACGATAGGTATTGTAAAGAAGTAATTTTTAATTATGTATAACACTGCTCGCATAATGCTATTCAATCGTTTTGCTCCATTTTATCAAACCCACGCTAATAATACGTTCAATATTAATAAGCAATTGTTGACAAAGCTTTATATTACTGAAACTTATAACAGGTTTACTTTAATAAAAAATATCTTTGGGTTTAATCTAAATATTTCAACTGTATTGATCAAATTTTCTTTTTTTTTTCTTTGGTTATCTTAAAAGGAAAATAAATCTTTCTAAGTGGAAAATAAAAATAAAATCGATTTTAATGCTATTTGGGAGGAAAATAATGTTGATTGCAGTAAATTTGTTTTATTGCTTTCATTTTACAACAGCTAATGGATGAAGCCATTAGAGGATTAGTGCTACTGGGAAAAATTGGATATATTGACATTAAAAATGGAAACTTTATTTGTAAATTGTCATTGGGTCTGGAATTCACAGACACTCAGACACAAACTTCTATTGTAACAAGAACACAAAGTATTTTAAACATATATTAAAACTAAATATCTGTTTGCTAATAAGACATGAACCTCCATAGAATATATTATTACATAGTAAAACAAACATGTAGCTACTCATATTACCATCTTTGTCAATGACAAAAGCTCCTAAGTCAACAATGAAATATATCTTGTGTGAAAAAAATACTTTCATATAAAATCACTCATATTATTTAACCTTGCGTGCTAAAAAGTTAAGTAAACTTATACCGGCTGAATTTCGTTCAATCATAAATGAGATGTGAACAAAAATGTGACGTAGAATATAACAAATAAAAACCAGTTTTTCTAAATCCAAAATAGGTATGATGACTTTAAAAAATATGACACTGCGTATAATATTTATATTTGCTCATATACCTAGATGCTCGTATCCTTGGGGGCTACTTCATATATTCACGTTTCAAGTCAATGACAAGTTGGGATTGTTTAGTTGGAAATCATAATTTATGGGGAAAAAAGGTCACCTGGAGAATGCCGCTAGATTTTTTTTAAACTGTAAAATTAAATCGCCACACAAGGTTAATCACCAATCGCATCTGTGTTTATTATAATTAATAAATCAATTTATTTAACGCAATTTTTTTAGCTATATATTTTACGTCTATCATGTGGAAACAGAATAATATATTTTATCTTATCTATGATAGGTAATCTGTTTTGTTAATAATGTTTGTTATCTCCCTTCAACATTGACGTATAGAACTTCGATTTATATCTACAGGGTGCCAAAACTTCACTTTTATAATATCTCACATTTTAATTCTAAAAAAATAAATAAAAAACGATTTTCAGATTTATAGATAAACTCTTTAAGTTATGTTTTTCAATTGCCACTAATCTGTTGACTTTTTTGCACTTATACAACAAAAATGTTATAAAAATGTAAATATAAATTTAAAAGATGCCTATCTATTCTTTACAAATTTTCTTAGACTAAATTAGGTGGAGGAGAACTGCTCTGACTGCGTATTTCCATCTGTTTGACACCCTGTATAGTGAAACAGGTGTTCATATAATTACAGCATTACAGAATTTCACGGTTATGGTAATTTTCTAACAATCTTGCTAATGAAAAGGCAAACAGTTAGGACTAAAGGCAAAATAATAGAAATATTTCTATTGTTTTGATCTTGTTCGTGTAATGAGTTCGCGTGTAACACGACACGCATGCGCTGCATACAGGAAAAGCTATTTTTCACCGGCTTACGTGAGATTTCAGTATAATATGTAAAGGCCTTAAGCAGCAAAAATATCATATTGCATGAGAACACACACTATGAGATAATGCAACTAATAAATCTTTGAAAACGCTGATGTGGTACAACAGTATGCGTTCAATCGATAAATAAAGTTTTAACATGTGTTTTTGAAATGCATTTTTTAAATAAATACGTAGTAGTTTGTAGGTACAAAGTAAATTAAATTTGCCAATGCTTTCAGGAATACTATACAATAATTAATGAACTGCACTGACAGGTATTATTAATGATTTAAATGTAAACCTCAGTTGCATTTAATCGTTTTAAAATAATAAAAGAACATTCTAAATTTAACAACGATTTAACGATTTTTGATTGTATTAGAACCTATACGTTTAATTCGTCAAAATAAAAACACTAAATCACCACAATACACCAAAACACTTTTACTTTTACACTGGACGCGCGTTTCGCTAACCATGTTAGCATCATCAGCAGATGATTATAAACTCAGTTTATAATCATCTGCTGATGATGCTAACATGGTTAGCGAAACGCGCGTCCAGTGTAAAAGTAAAAGTGTTTTGGTGTATTGTGGTGATTTAGTGTTTTTATTTTGCTGTTTAACACCAAAGGTTCCAACCCTCAACTGTAATCGTTTAATTCGTGTAAGGAAATAAATTTATTTAAGTAATTGCTATACCTTTGTGACAGGACCATTGCGCAAATTTGTCTTGCCAGTAAAATATACTTGACGTTTCCAGATATTCTCAAAGACAGAAAAGAATGTACCTACACTCTTTCTAGATAATTTGTATTTTTTTATAGAAAGTCTACTTATGTTTTTGCACTTAGTCTTTGTATAAACCATTGCACAAGTTTGTATGTGTTTTTATGTTATTATAGTTTTCCATTTCTATGTGTTGTTTTTAGGATAAGGCCCCAAACTCCTCGTGAAATAATTGACATGTGTCAAGTATGCACTTCAGTCACACCAAATGAACCCCAGGTCACCTTAGGCAATGACAAATCGTTCACTTACAACTATGTGTTCGATACGGACTCCCAACAGGAATATATTTACGAAAACTGTGTTGCTAACTTGATAGAATCATCGCTTGAGGGGTAAATATTTTGTTTTAATATTATTTTATGTATATATTTTTTGTTCGAGCAGTATAGCAAGTGTTTAAAAAAAATAAACTTTTTTTTTCAAAGAAGTGTTTTAATTCTTCATCTTTTTACTTCTTATTAGTATTCATTAGATGGTTGTGTTGGACCATAAATTATTTATACGTGCTCACACTTGATAAAATCTGTGACAAAAATATCGTTTAAAAAACTTATTTTTTTAAAACACAGCATATTTCTCAATGATAAAAAAATAGTATTATTGTAAGTAATTAAATATTCTCTCTTCGTTGTATTTCATTGCTACACCTACTTTACATTACGCTTGACCAATTTTCTGTATTTTTTTTATAAACTTTAAACCCGTATATTATATTTCTTTTTCTTCATCATTAGTTGTTCTAGATTTTTTACATTGATGTTTTATTTTTCAAAGCTCAATCCGTTTACGGTTCAATTGGCATCTAGCCTGCTAAATATAAGTTTTAGTTTCCTGCAAAATCATGGTGCAGAACAACCATCCACAATTACAGACAATTTTCCGTCTTCTAAATAATATGGCCGCGCCAATCTGTTTATATAGAATGAAAGCATTAATATTTTCGAAATTGTGTTGTTGCAAATATAGATCAAATAAAAACGATGTACTACTTAAATATTGAATGTGAAAATCTCGGCATTGCGTGCAGACTGTTATAATGCCAACGTGACATTTGCCTAGAATGTAGGCTTTTGATTAATTGTATGAAATATAATGGCTATTAGTTTTTGATACAGAGTGATTCATTTTGTTCGACTTAAGAGAATAATCGTGTTAAATTTAATAACTTAAAATATATTTATTAGAAATTATGTAATATATCACGATATGCATTGTTTTTCCTTCTTAAGACAGTTTTTCCGTGTATGTTATCTCACATTTAAGGCAGTGGCATTGAATTATTATTCGATTTAATTAAACATTTAAGCCCAGTATATGATTTATAGTTTCGGTTGACTTTATTATGCATTTCCTGTGCACAAGCAAATACTGTTTAACCCTCTGTTCTCTCGATTGTGATGCAAATGCAATACCAATCTTGAAGCTGTCATACAGTCGTGGGCAGTTGAACTAATAATACCTTATAAATTCTATTTCGTGTGCTTATGGGAACCTGCTTTGAAACAGCCTACTCGTATTGGAATTAAGCAATTCTGCAAACTTTGCGTTATCTAATTTTTTTTACTAATTGGCTTCAAGCAAAATTGTCAAAAGGTCAAATACGCTTTAACAATATTTTGAATAATTATAAATTATCTTCTCCAAAGATGCAACTGATTTATTATGTAATATATGCAAAACAAAACGTATATTAAGTTAAAAAAAAGTTAAATTAAAAAATGACGTAACCCAACAGGTACAATGCCACAGTCCTTGCCTATGGACAGACAGGGTCAGGGAAAACCTACACGATGGGAACGGGGTTCGATGTTGAGCTTCCTAACGAACAAAAGGGTATTATCCCAAGGGCTATACATCACCTTTTTGATGGTATTAGATCTCGAATAGATAAGGCTCACGAAAGCGGCATTTTGGCGCCCGAATTTAAGGTCACAGTTCAATTCATGGAGCTTTATAATGAGGAAATAATTGATTTATTCAATCCGTCTTATACAAAGGTGAGTGCACTTACATAAATCCTTTTCAAAATATGCTTTGGTGCTACCAGAAACTAGAACACTACATAATGAAATCTTTATGTTTGAAACGGTTCTTTTAAAACCAAACTATTGATTATTTATTACTATTAAATTACTAAGGCTTGAAGAATGTAGTGAAGTGAGTTTAGAAGCTTCTTTCAAATTTGTTTTTGAAAACACAAATAAACTAAAGTTTTAAAATTAAAACATAAAAAATATATTTTCTTGACGAAATGGTGGAGGATCAGATTAAAACGTTTGTCAAATATCTTTATTAAATGGTTTTTAGTGTGTAAATATTACAATATCGTTAAGAAAAATAATTCTTTGTAATAATAATAAATATTTATCAATATAAGTCCTTTTTTTCGTATAAAGGTACATAATAACTTAAAATATGAACAAGATTTTATTACATCTATTGTGTAATTTAGTAGTTTTTTTCTGGAACTTTGAAAGGAAAATAGTTAAATATAAAACTAAATAATAAGACGTATATTTTCAGGAAAAGATTTATAAAATTCACGAAGACCCTTACGGAGGCATCCAAGTAAAAGGAGTCACTTTTAAGACGGTACAAACAGCAGAAGAAGCTTTACGATGCCTAAAATTGGGAGCATTATCGCGAACAACTGCCAGCACTCAGATGAACACACAGTCTTCTCGGTCGCATGCTGTATTTACCTTACATATTAAGCAACAAAGACTGGTCCCATCTGACGATGAAAACATCGTTTCGAACGAATTCGAAACGCTTACTGCCAAATTCCATTTTGTCGACTTGGCAGGATCTGAAAGACTGAAAAGAACCGGAGCTACAGGCGAAAGACAGAAAGAAGGAATTTCTATAAACTGCGGCTTACTAGCTTTGGGGAACGTTATCTCAGCTTTGGGTGACAAAACTAAACGCGCTTTACACATACCTTATAGAGATTCGAAGCTTACGAGGCTTTTACAGGATAGCCTGGGTGGGAATAGTCAAACTGTGATGATTGCCTGTGTTAGTCCCAGTGACAGCGACTTCATGGAAACGTTAAACACGTTGAAGTATGCCAACCGGGCGCGTAATATTAAAAATAAAATATTTATCAACCAGGACAAGAGCTCGAAGACTATCAGTCAACTGCGACAGCAAATTGCACAGCTGCAGCTTGAACTAGTCGAATACAAACAAGGCAAAAGGATAATCAGGGACGACGGAACCGAAACCGTCAACGATATGTTTTACGAAAACAATATGCTCCAAGGCGAAGTAAATAACTTAAGAACTAGAGTAAAGGCAATGCAAGAAACTATCGATGCTCTAACGCTTAAAAATACTAATCTACTAGCGGAAAAAGCAATGGGAGGTTGGATTAACAGCGGAACTAACAGTGAGGTCGCTGACATGATTCAAGCATACCTCAAAGAAATTGAAGAATTAAGAGCGAAATTAGTCGAGTCTACGCACACCTGCGAGCAGCTTAGAAAACAACTCAGTAGATCGCACAGCCCTCACAGGTACAGCCTAATGTTAAATTCTAGTCTCATAGATGATAACGCCTCTCTATTAGAAGAAGCTAAAAGAAACCTATTACGAGAAAAAGAAGCACTAAACAGAAGATCTCTCGAGTTAGATCAAGAAAGTGATGGCGAAAGTGAACACGAATCCACTAGCGAAAACGAAGATATCAACAAAGAATTAAATGAAGAACTTATAACTCTGACAAACGATATAGACATGAAACAAAAACTTATTGACGAGCTTGAGCTGTCTCAAAGACGAATGCAGACGATGAGACAGCATTATGAAGATAAACTAATGCAGTTGCAACTTCGCATCCAAAACACTCAAGAAGAAAGAGATAAAATGCTTCATAAATACAACACTTATTCAGAACCGTCAGACAAAATTAAGAAAATCAAGGAAGATTACACTAGGAAAATTAGCGATATGCAAAAAGAATTGAAGAAACTCCAAACAGCTCAGCGAGAACACGTGCGTTTGATAAAAAACAATTCTCAGCACGAACAACAAATTAAATCCTATAAAGACGAATTGCTAGAAATGAAACGTGCCAAAGTACGATTGATAAATAAAATGAAAGAGGAGGCCCAAAAACACAAGGAGGCAGAGTTACGAAGGGAGAGAGAAATTGCTAAGTTGAAAAAAGAATCTAGGAAAAATGCCAATGTAATTAAAAGCATGGAAAACGAAAGGAGAATAAAAGATCAAGTACTAAAACGAAAACAAGAAGAAGTATCTGTTTTAAGAAAAAGTCAGAGAGGTAGACTAAGCCTGAAAGCTGCAGGTAGAGTGGCAACTAAAGCATTCTCGGAAAAAACGGCGAAACAAAAATGGATACAAGTAGAAAAATCCATAAACAACATAGCTTTAAGCAGAAAAGGATTAGTAGACCAAGAAGTGAGAATGGAACATTTCCTTGAAAAACGTGAAGCCTTAGGTAAGATTTGATAACTAGGAAAACAAACAAAAACCAGCTAATTTTTATCTTGCATAACCGACATTTCAGGTCGAGAACTGGAGATACTTGAGGAACGGAGAAATCAGGCTATTCAAAAAGGTCAGGACATTACCCAACTGGACAGCTATATCGAAGATATAAAAGAAAACATAAATTATGTTCAAGAAACCATCAGCGAAACGCAACATAATGTAATGGATATAGAGAAAACGCAAGATCCAGCTGATACCGCCGGTTTAGAACAGATAATCGCTACAGTCTACGATGTAGACGAGGCAAGGTATATTATTCAAAAATTGTATAACATGACTTTAGCGCAAAGCCACAGTGTGGCCCAAAGGGACGCCAAACTTAGGGAGAATGAGGCCAATCTTGCAGAGGTAAATATTCCTTGAGCTTATTATTATATAATGATGGTATAAATAAAATACATAATTATTTTTTTAGCTACAACAAGAAGCAAACGTTAAAGGGCAACTTCTTGACCACTTACTTCATAACGAAATCCCTATTTTCTCAAAAGAACTGATAACGAGTGTTTCCAGTAATACCAACGAGACTGCCAGTTCAAATTCTTCCAGATCTTCCTCTCCTGTCCCAACAGATAGTCAGTATGTATATCTAGAGAAACTTTTAGATAAAGTTATATTGATAATGTATCTTTTTTTCAGTTTACAAATTCCAGAACCTCAAGTACAACAAAACAGATCAAAAGTTAGGAGAAGAACAGCACAGCCCTCAGAAATGCTGTTTGGGCTTCATTCTCCTGACATGACCCATTCACGTGATTCACACAGTTTGTTTAGCTTAGATTGCAATTTACAAAGAGTGCCTAGTCTTTCAGGAAGTCTTAAGTTAGTAAATTTAAATTAGATAACTTTTTTTAATTGTGTAAATTCCTTAGATGCTGAAATACTTTGTTGCAATGTTTGCAAAAGCCTAACTAGTTTTTTAATATTACAGATTGAATTCCTGATGATCCATAAAGTTAGTGTCTGTAGTGAAAATGATAATGAAGGGTTCTCTAAGAACACCAGGTCCATATTTTCTGGAAGTTCTGTCAACCGATGTGAATTCTACTTACCACCTTCCTGTTCTTGTTCCATATTGTTAAAATTAATCGTTTTCTTGTCAATTTTATTATTACTACTATTAATGTTGTTAATAATTTTATGATGTTTAATGACTATTTATATTCTAATTTTAAGTGAAAGAAAGTGTATTTATCAACTGACCTGTAATAATTGTTTTAGTAAGTATTGGTTTTTAATTGAAATTTGTTTTATTTTATGAACCAGAAAAGATATAAAATTAATTGTAAAAAACCTTTATTTAATGATATAAATACTTGAAAATAAGATCTATAAATTATACATTTTTAATGAGATTACTAATTGCTTACGAATAGTTATTTTTTAAAAAATAATCTTCAGTTTTTCTTTTTCTTCCCAACTGTAACCTGCTGAGGCACTATTTGAGCATAGGTTTTTTGAGAATACTTATTGATATAAAATAACGCCAACAGTGACAATAGGAAGCTAAAATTATATTTATATTATCTACCGTAAAATGGGGGGAATAGAAACATAGTGGCGAATAGAAACAAAATTTCTGAAAAAAATCAAATCACGATTAAAAATATTCAAAGTAAAAAGAGTCGACATATCTAATTTTTCTATGATTGGTAATACACAATAAAATGTAAAAACTATATTTTTATCTGTGCCAGCACTGTTTCTGTCAATCAGCTGAGCAATAAATGTGAGATCGATTTATCACGTATTTTGTATGGCGCGAAAACTTTATAAATAAAATGTAACTTATAAATAAACATGTAAGTTGTTATATTATATGTATTGTTAATTATTGTTAAACCTACTTTAATATGTAATAATTTACTGTTTCTAATCACCTTGTTGAAAATAAAATAGATAAAAACCTTAACATCAATGTGTCTTTCTATTCTCCCGAATAGCAGGTGAATAGAAACACAAATGTTATTTTTATTTAATATTTATATGCATATTTTTAAAAAATAATACCACATTTTTATCAACCGGTATATCGCTAATAGCCTACGAAACTGTTTCTATTCACCCCATTTTACGGTACTAAATATTAAAAAAAAACATTTTCAGTTACCATGATGTTCCTGTAACTCTGTGGACAGTGGCAGCTGCTGCTAAGGCCATGAAAAATGCCAGTATCACTAAAAACATACAAATATAGATTCATATAAGAAATTAATTACTAGAAACACCAACCTTCTGGAAACAGACCGAGGTTATAGGACTTTCCTAAAACTAATGTCTCTAAGTTTCCTATTGCAGTTAGTGTTAATGTAAAGAGAAAAGCTCCTAATACACCCCCTAAAAGAGTATTTTGACTAGAAGATGCCAGCCAAGTCTTCCAAATTTGCATTGAAGAAAATAACAAAAGTGAACTTATACTTGCTAATATAAACGAAGTTTTAGTTGCTACGGCTAAAAAATAAAATATCTTATAACAGAAAAATAATATTTTAATTGTAAACTTACCCATTTTATTTAAAAATTTAATTCAAAATATAATATTTACTTCCAAAAAGTTAGGTTAGAATGCTGACATTCATCTGACGTTTACAAATTTCCACTTGTATTTTTGGTTGCCTATGGATGATATTAGGTTAAAAGAAATTTTTATTTTATGTTTAATTCCATTTTTTTCAAGTTAAATACAGGGTATACCAAATGCAGTATATACTACATACACAGAAATAAATAAATCAATACTTTACAAATTATGATAAGTCTAATTAATAACATTTATCTACTTAATACTGAATTTTCAAGTAGTGGAGGACCTATATCTATGGGAGAACTTACCTTAATTGACTTTTGACAGCAGTTTGTTAATTTCATCTTGAAGTGCTGTCAGTTGATCCAGATCTAGTTGTTTATTCCAATCTTAGTAGATATATTTCCATTTCCTTTAGAGAAAAGTGTTAATTTAATATATATTTAAGAAAGTGAAAAGAAAATTGTAGTGAAAAATAATTGGTAAGTAAATTATATTTATTATTGGTTATGTTACTATTTTAAAAACTAGTTGGTGTGGATACCATTGTAGATATCTTAACATAAAAAATGAAAAATATATTTTTACTTAAACTTTTTAATTATATTTTTACCCTGTTATTTTCCCAAAGCCACAATTCCTACAGAATTGTGATTTTATATTTTTAAAATTACATAAAAACTTTCTCTGTTATTCGGTCTAATTACTATTTTTTTTGTATTGAATAAATAACATTACCCAGTATTCCTTTAAATTAATTGAAATATTTTTTTTATCAATTATCATCTTTTAAAAAGAGAGGAAAATATGTCAATAAATAAACAGACACTTTTATTTTGCAAATTATCTTTATATTTAAAATGTTTAATTAATGTGGCCATAAATAGCAAAATAAAATTAAACAGGAAGCTTTTATATTACATTATTTATTATAGGTGTTATTACATATATTGTTCAGTAGTTATTGCTAAGATTTTCTCAAGCATTCTCAAGGATATTCAGAATTAATTTCATATTCCTTGTAGCAAATATAAAGTATAATTTGTTTGAGAGACATAGGTACCATCCCATTATATATCATATATTAGTGTACGAAAATTGGTGCAATGACTGTTAATATTTATTTATGTATAACTATTAAAATTTATTTAATAAATTGGTCATTGGCTTGTTAAAAGATGTCCGATTATAAACATAAGATGTCAAGGCAGTCCTCCTGGTTACTACTTAAACTGTATTTAAATTTAAACATTATGGTAACAGCCAGTATATTATAGTTTTAAAATTCATTGACCGTTACAAGAAATTATTCTGATAAATAAATAGGAAAAAATGATATAACGTTATGTTTAATGCATGTAACATGTAAAATAACAATTACATGGACACTTAATAGAGAACGTGAAATTATAGCATTCATTATTACTTTGCGTACTTTTTACTTAATTATTTCTATTAATTATTATTTAAATTTTCAAGATTCGTAATTTTCTTTTAAACTGTGTGCTCACTGTTTTACATAATTTTAACAATCTGCGGACAATTTCGTCATGACTAGCAATAATCTTTATTAAACCTTTTATTTATTTACCGATTTAAAAATATACTGATATCGCATGAAAGGTGTTCGTAAATATCTCAAATTTTTATTAATCAGTTAAAAAGTACTAAACTACGGCTCATAAAATTGTATTTTTTGACAGAAATATTCGGTTATCATTTTTTTAGCTTTAGGAAACCTACTTTTCTGATAAGATACCTATTGCATTGAAACTGTTTTTTCCTAATGAATGGGAATAACTTCAATTTTAATTTTTTTTTCTCAAAATACCTAAGTTGGTACATATCAGTGGATTCATTCTATTCGCAACTGGATGTATGTATATTATTAATGATATATATATATATATATATATATATATATATATATCAAAATAACTTACATAAGTTTATATGTTAATATACTGTAAAATAGAAAAAATAATTTTAAAATATTCCTAGTAAACGTGTTATGGAAATAAGGTCCCAACAGAAAAATACTTAGATTCGGTCGTTAGCACTGGACCACTCTTTATGTAATATTTTTGATAATTTTTTTATTCTGCAGAAATATTAGTAACTGAAAATACTTCAAGTGGTAATCATATTTAAATCCTCAGGGACTTACTTCTTGTGAGTACGGGCGTGGCAAACCCGAGGTGCCCTAGCTGGATGCTCACTTTGCTTCAACTTGTCTTGGGTGAGATCCCTTCTTTCCTATCGATCTTTGATCAACTTTGAGTTTCTTCCAATCTTCAATTCTATCATATTTAACAAACTTCCACTGAGATTAAACTTACTTAGAGGCCAGGATTGGCATGATTTAAAGCAAATGATTTAATCGTGATTTAAATCAAGTGATTTTTTTTTAAATTTTAATCGTGTGAATCTATAATGGTTGTCAGAAAATAATGAAAATATGCTGTTGTATATCTTTATTGAAACAGCTGTATGTTGATCAAGATAACTTCTGCCTTCTCTAATTGATTTTCTTGTTCTTTCCCAATTTCTACCGACATTTCGATCTGTAGTAAGTACTTTACACTTTGACATTAGATAATACCCTTATGATAGTAATTTCATTCACGACTTAAGACTATTTCCGAACAATAGTGTATTGTTTTATTAGGAGTAAAAATTAGACTTTTTTGACGAGGCTGTACGTTTGACGGACAAGCTATATAGTCAGACGTTACAGGGAGGCACAAAAAGTACATTTTTACTCCAAATAGAACATGCCTCTATGGAACATACTATCTTTTTCAAACGTTACAAATAATTTTGTTGTCAATTTCAATCGCTGCAAATAATATATAAAATAATACCTTATAAGTAATTATATATAGATTTGCCGCGAGACAAGACGAGACGAGATAAGAACTTATCTCGTCTTGTCTCGAAATTTCGAGATAAAACATTATCGAGACGGGACGAGACGTTTTTTTTTTCGACTTGTTTAATATATCACAATAATGCTTTATATTACCTAAGGGATATTTCCTACAGGATTGAAAAAAAATAATTATGATTTCTTTTTTGAAAATATCAAATATATTTTTTTTAATTAAACATTTTTTTGTTTAATATTTTTCTATAAAGTATATCAAATAATTTCCTATAATAATGCAGTGCGTCTCAACCCTATAACTTTTTTATTTTTTCAGATAAATAAACGGTAAAAAATAAAAAAAAAACACTAAATTTGGTATGTTAGTATATGACATAAATTAGGATTGATTGATGTATTCATTTGTTTTCAGTCACTCCTGTTTCACCGAAAATGACTACAACTTTTGATTTTTAAATGGCACCCCCGGTATATATTTACTTTATTGGATAGAAAATGACATATCAGATGTCAACTTTTGAGGAATAGCAAAATTTGACATATGATATGTCATTCTATTCAGAGTGTCAGTTTATATCGAATAATGTAAACAAATACCTAGGGTGTCATTTAAAAATCAAAACTTGTAGTCATTTCCGGTGAAACAGAAAGTGACCAAAAACAATGGAACACATCAATCAATCCTAATTTATGTCATATACTAACATACCAAATCTCATTTTTTTATTTGCATAAATAAAAAAGTTATAAGGGTGACTTTTGAGACGCACCTGGTATACACCTAAGACAACTTTAAGAAAATTAAAAAAACATTTTTTTTTCTGCCACCCTATATACGGGCATCCCTATACACACTAAAAAACATTCCCATTTCGTTTGTTTGTTTTCTTTTGAAATTTTCAATGACTTTGGAAAAACAATGGAAGTAAACATTAGCTCTAACATATATTAAGATCGACGTTGGACGTTGGACACTAAGTTGGTTCTAAGTTTTCAAATAAATTATATTTATTTAGTTAGTTTGTGGTTATTTATTCTCCATAAGCATATAACTATTAGAAAACATCACGCAATTTGATATTTATTAAAAAATCATGATTTTGCCAACCCTGTTAGAGGCACAGCCTACACATTAGACAGCTAGTCGACTTAACAAGTAACTTCGCTTATCTTCTGATATGTAACAAATTGGATTCTGAGCTCCATTAAAGCCCCGTTTATAAAAACAATTGAGATTGGTGCTTTGACTGCTTCCATGTGTACGAGAACATGTCGACTGGCTGTAAGTATAATGAATAAGCCGTAAAATTAACGAAGTAAGCATAGTAATAATTAAACTATAAATCTTATTATTAATAAACGTATTACCAAAAGAGATACCTGTATGTATTGTGTAAATTTAATTAAACCATTATTTTGGATTTAGTTTGCCTGTGGCTCTTGCGGGATCTGAAACATACCACGGATACCACGAATTGATTATATTTTGTCTCCATATTGTGTCTATATCTCCGAATTAGTCCATTCGACATAACATTATACGGTTAATATTTTAAATTATTCTGGTTTTGTTTGATTATCCAATTTCGATATTGCAAATTCGGAAAACAACATGTTGTGAACATACATTTAATATGGTTATATGTATATGTATATTCGACAAATTGTATAAAATATTATTTTTACCCTTATTCTACGGCTATGCCTAAAGAATTTAAGGTACGAAAAATACCATCAACATTATTATTCTTCTCAGAAAGATGGGTGATGCAAATAAACAGAACCATTACCAACATCCTCATTATATTCTGTTCTAGATTAATTACTCTCAATGTTCGTATTATTTACTGTTTTCTCTTATCAATCGATTCAATAAAATGTATGAATACTGAACAAACCATTATTAGCAGTTTATCGAAAATATCCTAAAATTTTGCGATAATCAAGTCCTTTGTGTTAGTTTAGGTTTTTTACCTACTATACTTCCGCATTGTATGTACTCAGATAGTACACAGACAACAATTGTTTCTGTCGTAACTTTATTCCTTTATTTTAGAGGTTGGTTATTTTCAAGTTCATTCAAATATTATTTATCATCTGTTAATTATTATTATCATGCATAACTGAAAAACAAGAACTTTTTCTATACACGTGTGCGTAATGTTTTAAATATATTTTAAATATCTTTTTTTTTTCATTTAAATTAAAAATCATTCCACATCAGTTGACAATATAAATTAAATTTCAAACGGCCTAAAGAGACCCTTAATTCAATTTTGATCATATTTATTTTGGGAGATTTTTTTAAAATAAACTTTATAAAAAAAAGAAAATAAGTTTCTTCCTGTAAGCTTCCTTTCGTTTAAAGCGTGGTGACAGTCTTGAAAGTGCTTTTCCCGATTATATTTCTCGGTGCTCCTGAAAAATTCAGCGGGAATAATAATTCAGGAATATGTTCAGGCCTCTGTACAAATTTATTCGATGTGAAATGACAGCCTGTCAAACCGCAATTTCGTTTCGTTGCTGTATTTTCGTGTTTCCCGCTAATGGCATATCCATCAATATGTTTTTCTGCTCAAAATTCATTAGTATAGTAGGCTAAAAACATATTTTGTTAATCAATAACTCAAGTCTAATTAGGATTTTTTTACATTTTTACATATTTTCTATTTGATTTTTTTTAGTATTTTCTATATTTTTTGCGCTTTTTTATTTATCATTATAGTTCCTTTTTTTCTAATAATGTTGTCTTCATATTTTCGTATAATTACTTCTAAATATTTTATCTTTGGACTAACAAGAATTTGTATTAAGGCTGCTTTTGTGGGATCGTATAAAAGGTCAAAGTGAATAAGGCATTAGAAAAATCTAATCAACTACTTTGAGAAATTTATTTTCTATACGTGTCACGACTTACAAATAATATACATTTAATCTGGACTACCACATGTAGTTCTACTGATACAGGGCGATTCACTAATTTGGAATAAATTCGGTAAAACAAAGATTTTTTTTGAAGCACGTAAAAAGCTGCTATATGTTTTTTTTTATTTCATATTATTCAAGTTAAGGAAGATTTTAAATCAAGTGAAGGGGAGGGGATGTACTGAAATAGAATATACCCGAATCCCGAATATACAGGGTGGTCCGAATTGACCGGGAAACTTTGTCAGTGTATGTTCTAAAATGATTCGTTTCGGAAATACAGGGTGTAGAAATTTCATTTTAATTTCGAGGTTTTCTAAATAATTTTTGATCTATAGTCGATATTTGGGTGAAAATTGGTGTCTTTGAGTTTTTTGGCATGAGAAAATTGATTTCGATATCAATATGACCCCTACTTGTAGGGGGCGCCATCTATATGTTCTTTAACTCTTTGAAGAGTAATAAATTTTCGTCCATACCTGTATAAAACTACCCAAGATATTTGTAACAGAAATAATCAATACATGTCATCATTGAGGAAAATTAAACGTGTTAACTTGTAGATGGTTATTAGACTCAAATAATAAATTTGAAATATTTTTGTGCTATACATAATTTTGTCTAAAAAAATTTGATTAATGTAAAAAAATAAAAAGTTTCCAAATTTGTCACTTTGGTTCGGTTTGGCATAGTTTACGTGACATGTACTGACTATTTCTATTTCAAATATCTTGAGTGCGGTTACTTGTAGCGATTTCTACCAAGGTTACTTTTTTACGTAGAAAATTACGGAAATGTATATTTTTTCACTCGGTAGTTTATACAGGTACGGACAAAAGTTATTACTCTTCAAAACAGTTAAAGAACCTGTAGTTGCATGTGAAAAACTCCCAGACACCAATTTCCATCCAAATATCGACTATAATTAATTCATAAATTATTTGGAAAAACCTAAAATATAACTGAAACATCCTGTATCTCGTAAACGAATCATTTTTGGACATACGGACTTTTTTTACTTAAATTTATCTGCAGAATATTCTGCCGAAATTTCCGAATACAATTCAGACCACCCTGTAGATTTCAATTTTTTTTTCAGTTATTTTTGGTGGTGTTATATTTATTTTTGTTTGACTTAATATTTATTTTCTAAAATGTATACATATACAGGGTGAATCACTGTTGTGACAGAGCTCCATATCTGAAGTTCTGTATTAGATGTTTAACTCATTGAGTGTTTCTTTATTATATAACCATCGTCTGTAGATATTTAAAAGATGCGTAGAGGGTGATGTAACTTTTGATTATTTGTGTCTTTTGTTGTATTTGGGGGTGATTTTATGAGGATAGTTGGGATTAATGTCAAATGTAGTAGTGTTAGAAGTGTAATTGGTAAAAGAAAACGTGGGTGACGAGGCATTACAACCCCCGGAGTAAAAAAGACAAAAATTGGCATTGGAACATTGTCTTTTGGTGTTAGTATCGATATGTGCGCAAAACGTGTTGCGCGTGTCTTCATTCACATTTTACCAAGTCGATAACCATACTTGTATCAGACTTAGATTCCGTTGGCAGGAGACTGAATTTTGCGTTTTTCCTCATCAATCCACGTATTTCCGCTCATCGAATACCGGTATGTACGCTCATCTTCACCTGCATGAACAATCATTTTTTCTGCTATTCACTCAGCCCTTGTTTCAATTAACGATTTTTTCCATGCTAGCGGTTTTTTAACTTGCATCAATCGGCAGTAGTTCCGCACTCTTCAAGAAAATATTTTATTATTTAGCATAAGGCAAAATATTTTCTGTGACTGTTTTGTTTTTGGTGTCTGGATATTTTTATTTTTTTAAGTATTACATTTTTTTATATAATCCTGGAACGATCAAAGTGTGTCAAGGGTATTAAAACTAGGTCAGAGGGAATTTTCTTCATTTGACACTTTCTTAAATAAGCATCAAATAAATTCATCCAAAAATTTAAGCCAAACATTCTAAGATTTCGATAAATATTTTCTTAAATACGTCATAACCTGTGGGTTTACACCGCATTATGACAAGATGTACATCTCATATTTACATCTCCATTCATCTTAATCAACCCCATCGCTTCTTGAGAAAAATCGAACTCAAATACGTTAAAATTTAATGTAATATTTCGTACAGATTTTGTATTTTTTTAAGTCCCGTTCATTTTACTGAAGGAGAAAATTATTTTATTTCACCCAACAGTTTGGAAAAGAGCTTAATTCAATGCTTACTTTTGTTAGAAGCTTCAGGTTAAATTTATTATGTATCTTTGAAGAAATACTTCTTAAGATAGAATCTTTTCATATCTTACCCGGTTTATAACTCTTGCTAATCTTTTGTTGATCTTAAATTTATTTAATACCCGGGATTAAAACCCTCTGTATTATTTTAGATTTTCTTTGAAACCCATTTTTTTGTCTTTTAAAAAAATATATTTTTAAATATCCGTACTGTATTTTGCAATAATGTTTTTATTTTAGAGTTTTAATATGATTGTGTTTCGAGCGTATTTTGCTAATAAGTATTGAATTTATAATAATTCTCTAACAGGTTGACATAATGCAATAAAAAGCTTTCGACGGCCTATTTACTGTTTAATATCGCGTAAATATAATATTAATATATTTTGAATTAAAATAAGATTTAATGGTCATCAATATAATAAAACATAAAAGCATAAAGTGTTAAAAGCAGAATTTATATTAAATCTGAACGAACTTGTTTAATAATAATTATTACAAAATTCACTTTGGCGAATTGTTATTTAAAAAAGTGGTATAATAATTGATATTTAATAAATTAACAGTAGTTTTATTTCATACAGAGGAATAGTAAACTAAAATACTTTCAATCATTTTTTGCTTTAAATAAGAATGTTATCACTAAGGACATATGCAGCATTAAGTGACAACAGGAAATAATAAAGATAATTAATTTGAAATACAGATTTCAGTAAATTGAACCCTTTCTATCAATTTCAGCAGTACGCTCATTAACCGTTCTTTTATTTTAAAATTTCTTTTATTCGCGCTTTTTGTCGCAGGTCAAAATTGAGACTAAAAACAAGATGGCGTTTGCCGGGCTGAAGAAACAACTTAATAAATGTAATCAGGTAAGTTAGACGTAGTTTCGAAGTTTTTCCGAGATTTTAACTTGTTTTCTTTTTCTTGGACAGTATGTCACGGAGAAAATGGGGGGCGCTGAAGGAACCAAACTGGATCTGGATTTTATGGATATGGAAAGAGTAAGTTTTGCATTTTTTTATTCATAAAATGACATAACACGTGATTTTGATGAAATCATAAAAGTCATATTTGATTGTATTTATTGATGGCCAGACTGCTCTTCGGTCTTCGTCTCAGTCTTGCTCAAATAGCAAGACCGAGTCCGCCCAGTGCAAGACTTCCGCAAAACAAAACCAACCAAAGTCTTACATTTTTTTTCACGTTTATGTGATATAAGAAATTACGTATGTTCAAGATTATTATTTTAATTTATTATAAATAGTGTTCCCCCGGTTATTGCATAAAATTTTAAAGAAAGAAATGCTGATTCAATTTTAAAATATTTTGAAAAATAAAAAAATCAGACAATACCTGTAATAATTTCTTTCTATAAAATTGTATTAAAAAACCGTGAAAATCTATTAAAAATGCAAGACTTTCAAGAGTCTTGCACCAAGATCAAGGGAGTCTTGCTCATCACTAATTGTATTTTAAATAGTCAATTTATTAAATTGAATTGAACTATCTATCGATAGAGCAAAAAATCAACTTTTAAACACCTACGTTCATTCAAAAAAACCTCTGAGTGAATGACCTGTAGAATAAATTTATTAGGTTCCAATATGGTTATTATAAAGCTGGGGAATGTAGGTAGTCTGTGAATAATAAGAATAATAAATAATAAACATTTTTTGTATATCCAAAGAAGATGCAAACCTACTGATATTTTTTTTTGCAATTAAGAATTACGCAGTTTGAAAGACTTACCTATACAGGGTGGCAATGTTAAAAGTAGTTATCGGAAATATCCAGGGTGAGTCTTAAAAAAGGGTGGTAGGTCTTGATAAAAGGAACATATTTTCTCTTTACCGTTTTTCAAATAAGTCCAAAATAACCGAGTTATTTTACTTTGAAAATTTGCAAAAAATTGATTTTTTGCTTAAATTTTCAGAACCACTGGATCTTTTCTGGGTTTTCTTTCTTCTAAATTTAGTCTACTATCTATGGTGTCATATTATCAAGAAATTATGATTTTTAACTAAAACTACAAAAAATTAAATTTTCAAAAAAAAATCGCAAAAAAAACTCTTAATCGTATTTCTGCAGTCGAAATATACTACCTCTAAAAATATTTGCATTTATTTTAGACTCACCCTGTATATTAGAAAGGATAAGGTTCTTGTTGATTCACCCCACCTGATCTATTATAAGATTTTTTTTAATACAAACCCACCTTATGTGGCATCATTCGTTTTTTAGATATCATCAAAAAAATGCCATCTATCTTCTCTCTATAGCTGCATCTTTTATCTAAATATCTGTATTTGTCTTTCAGAAAACAGACGTCACGGTAGAGTTAGTTGAAGATCTCCAAATTAAAACCAAGGAGTTTCTCCAGCCCAACCCGACAGCCAGAGCAAAAATGGCAGCCGTCAAAGGCATCAGCAAACTCAGCGGTCAGGCCAAGTCCAACACTTACCCCCAACCGGAGGGTGTGCTTGGAGACTGCATGCTTAGCTACGGCAAGAAGCTGGGAGATGACAGCATGTTCGGGAACGCGCTGGTTGAAATGGGCGAATCCCTCAAACAAATGGCCGACGTAAAATACTCGCTTGACGATAATATTAAGCAGAACTTTTTGGAACCTCTACATCACCTGCAGACAAAAGACTTGAAGGAAGTAATGGTAAGTCATTTAAGGATAAAGTTTCACTCCAACATTTTTTATATTACTTTTCTGTTATTTTTTATTAGCACCATCGGAAAAAACTACAGGGCAGACGATTGGATTTTGATTGCAAGCGGAGACGCCAAGCCAAAGGTAAGTTTGATGTATTTTTTTTTTGATACAAGAGACATTCGACAGTGTCAGATAAAAAAACAAACATTTTTTATATAATTTTTTTTATTACCTTAACAATAAATTTCATATAAACAAACGGTTTGTTTTAAATATACAGCTTTTGAAACCTCCAAAACGTTTTTTTTATAGACTCTTAAGTCCTGCTACTAAAAAGTGGACACCCTGTATAGTAGAGTTACTACTGTGATACGATTCTAATTCTGTCACATTATAATATGTAAAGATTATGAACTAATGAATAAAAGAGAATTTAAGAAAGTATTTTTTCAGTGTAAATTCGACCTAATAAAAATGTATTTTGTTTCCGATGATTGTCGAGTGTCTCTACTGTATATTTATCTGAAAATTATTAATAAAAATTATGGAAAAAAACGATTTTAGTGTATGTTTTCTTAATTAAGCAGATTAATAAAAATTCGCGCTTAAAATAGAGGAAATGTCTTATTAATATCAGCAGGCGTTTCACAGCTTTATGGTATCTACTAATGGCTTATCTTATTAAACCTCCAACACTTTTAAAGTACGTTGAAACAAAGCCATAAAAATACCCATTTACGTTTAAGAAAAGCTGTAAAGGTTCCGTTATCCATGTAAGGAACATTATGTAATTAATAAAATATTTACACTTGCCAATTATTTTGTTTATATTAATTTGTTATCAAAAACGATATTTTTCCATAATTTTTATATTAAAAACATCATCGTTCGGTTAATTTGAGGGTTTAATTAATACATCAAAACAGTTCTTATAGAAGCCCTACAAATGGATGCCGTGTTTCTTGCATCTGAACAGATGTTTTAACACACGCGGAGATTTTATTTTTGAAATTTTATCTTCTAGCCTACAAAGGCCTGTTATAAATACGCCTTTCCTTAGTTGTGTTAATGAAGACATTATTTAATTCGAAGATGATGTTTTTTTTTCTTCTTTATGCGTAAGCATTAGGCCGAAAAATTATTTCCGCATGTTTTATTATTTAAGCGTCAAAGGGAATGTTTAGTCCTTATTCAAGTCCTGTTAAAAGCCATAGCGCTGGGCATGGTACGTTATTTTATTATTTATTTACTACAGAATAATAAATACAGAAGCCCGTAAAGTTTAGATTTCTATCAATTTTTTAAATAATGTATATTTCTCCGGAATAATATGTTAAAATTATATTAAATGGCAATTTATTACACATAATATTACTGTCTTCCAATGGGTGCTAATATTTTGAAGGCTGGTAGATCTCGATAAAAGAAGCACATATTTTTTCTTTGCCGTTTTTCAAATAAGTCCAAAATAACCAACTTATTTTACTTTGAAAATTTCCAAAAAATGACTTTTTCCTTAAGTTTTAAGAACCACTGGATCTTTTTTGGGTTTTCTCTCTTGTGAATTTAATTTAACTACATATGTTGCCATATTATCAAGAAAGTATGTTTTTTAAATAAAAACAAAAAAAATGTTTCAAAAGTTCTTAATTTTCAAATATTTTTTTTTTCGCGAAAAAATCACCAATCGTCGTGTTTCTGGAGTCGAAATATGCTACCTCTTAAAATATTTTCACTTATTTAAGACTCACCCTGTATATCATTAATTTACAGGATTCCGTCTTTTATTTTACACACAATGTTGTACTTTATACGTTTTAACTGACCAAGTGAGACGTCATATTTAGACCGGTCTTTAGAGAACTTATTTTTTTCAGGAGATTTACATTGTTGGTTCTGTATTGTTTATTCTGTACTTTGTTTATTTAGGCTCTTTTTATTATTGCTAGATTGTTTTAGAGCGAGAATTGCCTAGAAATTTAAATTTTAAAATTTTATTTTGCATTTTTTTTTTAAATTTACAAAATGGTTAAATTGCTTTCGGTTTTCGGTTAGCGAGTTCATTTTAGCTTTTCCTGATTTAGGAGACTTATTTTTTCCAGTCCGCTTGCTCCAAGGTAATTTTTCCAAGTTATTTCTCCACTTTGCGGAAGAAAATTTCAGATTATTTTTGCGTCAGAATAACTTTTCATTATTTTTCCCTCTTAATATCGGTATTTAATAAATTCAATTTCCAGATATGGCACTTATAAAACTGTTTTGAGACTTGCACTAAATTAGCTTTTTCAATTAGTATTTCGTTTGAAGCTTTCAAAGTTTTCAAATGAAGAAGAACAAGTTCCTCTCGATTTATCACAATTAAAAGTTACTGTCGTTTCTAGTTTTTTCAGATTATTCCAGAAGTATTTTAATATCTTCTTATTAAAACTGAAGTTTTATTATTAAAACTTTTTTATAACAGATATAAACGGTTATCAGATAAGAGTAACTAATATTAACATTTTGGGTTAATTAAATTTTTAAATTTCGTTTTATTTAGTGTTACTTTCTTACCTTTGTAATATGTACGACAGTAAGTAAACGTGTATAATATACGTTTTTTAATATTATATTTTAACTCTTTTCTATATTAAAATTAATGGACTATTTGTTTATAAATATGATACTGTTGAAATAGTATAAATAAAAATTAGATGAGTTTGCTGGCCCGGTACAGAGCATAATGCAGCATTTCAACGTGTTAGATAAAAATAAACTTTTCAATTATTGTCAATAATATAACTGAGTTTACATTTGAAACACGGAACGCAACGAAAATATTTTCATATTTTTCAGTTCATCATAAAGAGAGAAATATCGGATTTCGTTTTTTTTTCGTTATAATTGATTTAAAGCATATTATTTCATGGCATGGAATCCAGAGATATTATTTTCTACTATTTTAGTAGTTCTAACCGAACGATATAAACTTTTCCAATTTTCACACAAGCCTGGAAAATAAATTTATTCTGGACTATTTCTGTTACAAAAACAAAACATGGTCTGTCACGTTAACGGTTTCCGAAGTTTTCTATTGAGAAAGTAGAAATGGAAAATTTGTCCGAAAGTGTGGTCCAGGCGTCTTTAAGGAAGAGACAAGTTTTTTTCAACCTCGGAAAAGAGAGATTAAAATTGAGAGAAAATAAAAATCGTATCGAAAAACGAGTAATATCGTTTTAATTAATTTTCCAGCTGGAAAAGTTTCTGGTATTTGCTAGAGCAGATTTTAATAAGCTTTTATATTTTAAGACTGGTGAAAAAAACGAGACAAATTCATTTCAGATTTAATTTCTTATAATCCTATAACAGAGCTGAATCTGTCTGGAAGTACACCAGTTTTGTATTAATTTATTTGTTTATTATTTTGGCATGAGCTTCTATTAATTTTGCATGTTTTTTTTTATTTTGGCCTGTTAACTACCTAACAGGTTCAAATATTGCAGATGAGGAAATTAAGACAGCCGAAGAAAAATTCGCAGAAAGTCTCCATCTTGCTCAAATGGGCATGTTCAACTTATTAGAAAATGATGTAAGTACTAATGAAAAAAAAACTTTTGTTGGGAAAATACATAAATAAGGATTTCTTGTTGTTATGTAATACATATTAATATTTCATTTTTTTTTGTTATAAAAATTGTGGAGCAAATAAATCTTGAAAACCAGAAATCGTTTGACGTTGCTTAACATTTTCTTATGTCAATATTTTAGGTGGAACAAATTTCTCAACTGACAACTTTTGCTGAAGGGTTATTGGATTATCACAGTCAGTGCACAGAAGTTCTTCGAACGCTTACTGAAACGTTACAGGAAAAGTAAGTAACCTTTTTTTCTCATTTCGACCCTCAGAAAACAATATCAGTTATGCAAACAATCCGGCCTATCTGTTTTTTTTTCTGGAAAAACAAACAAGAATTTATGTTCGACTTTCTTTTTTGTGGATGCTTTAAAAGTTATAAGGCCTTTATATTGTTTATTTAGGGTTCAGTTCCTTTTTATCCCCCTAGTCAATAAAGATTTCTCTCATTTAATGTACCACGAGTTATTGTAATATTTCTTTTATGAATTTTAGGAAAGAAGAAGCAGCTAGTCGTCCTAAGGTAGAATTCGTACCGAAAACTTTATCTGACTTGAACATTGAAGGCGTTTCTGTGGCAGACGGATACAATGGTACACATTCCAGTCAGTTAAGCCTAAATAATCACAATTCGGGTAACAATATTTCTAAGAACGGTCAGAATCAAACCTATAATGGGTGGCACCAATTTTCGAGGCCAGCGCCCAAGACGGCCCCCATTAAACATCACATGCCTCCACCCGATCCTTTCGATCCTTGGAGTTTTCCTCAAGGTATTTTTCGTTTGTTTTCTTTTTAGTTTTATTATTAGTTTTTGTATGATAAGTTTGTTTAATTTTATTTTACTAACCCCTTTAATTTGTTTTAATTCATTGTTAAGTTGATTTGTTTGTTGGATATTCGTTTGTGAATACTGCATATACAGCTGTCGTTCGCCATTCATAAAACATGTATAAAACACGGTAAGGTATCCTCGTATATGTATTATTTATACAGGGTGACAATTTTGAAAAGTAGCATTCGAGAATATCTCTTGAAAAAAAATATTATCAGGAAGATATCAAAAACATATCTGGGAGTTGGAGGTTTTATAAGATTTTTTGTGTGATGAGCACTTTAAAAAAGTTTATTCTTTAGTTATTTTACAGGGTGAGTCTTAAATAAGTGCAAATATTTTTAGGGGGGGGGGTATATTTCGACCCCTGATTTCAACGTCTATGTGTTTTTTTGTGATTTTTTTTTTAATTTGGAATCATGAAAAAAAAAAATGGGATTTTTTTTTAATTTTTAGTTAAAAAACATAACATCTTCATAATATGGCAACATAGGTTGTAGATTAAATTTACAAGAATGAAAATTCAGAAAATATCCAGCGGTTCTCAAAATGTAAGCGGATTTTTTTTTATATTTTCAAAGTAAAATATCTGGATTATTTTGGACTTACTTGAAAAAGGGCGAAGAGGAAATGTTTCTTTTATCGAGATCTACCAGCCCTGAAAATATTTCCTCTTATTTAAGACTCGCCCTGTATATAATAATTTTATTGTCCAAAAGTGTGCCAGAAAATATATGTATAGGTGACATTTGATCTTTAAGTATTATATGTTGAACTAAAAATCGAAATAATTTTATATATGAAAAGTTAATATATATATATATATATATATATATATATATATATATATATATATATATATATATATATATATATATATATATATATATATATATATATATATATATATATATATATATATATATATATATACAATTAGGGACAATATGGCATTGTATTATAAAACCAAATGTCTCCACATCATAATTGACCTCAATATCCCCATAATACATATTACAAATGTCTGTAAAAATGGCATAGGTAAACTAACATCCTTTGTACTAAATGAACGCAGAACTAAGGTTCTCTGAAATTAATTTCAGCATTAATTTTACTCTATAAATAGACTTCGAAATTAAATTTCGAATATTAGTTTATTTACGAGAGCTCCTAAAAGCAGTATTTGCTAATATATAATGATTCAAAGGAAAATCAAGGTAAAAGGGAGATGATGTTAAACGGTCGAGGATCGAGTCAACCTAATAAATAATTCAGAAAAGCCTTTGAAACATTAATAACTTCAGTATAAGGTTATTTTTATTTTCAGTTTTTCTCTTTTTATTTTATTTTTGAACCTATTTCCCTTGATGTCCCACTCCATTCATTCAGGAATATATAATATAAATAAAATACTCACGAACAGTTTTATGAAAGTATTCTTATATTTAGACTTCTGTATGGAAATGTAAGATTGTGTAGATTAAATTTTCAATTGTGTTTATTTATTTTCTTGCTGTAAGCAAGAACTTAATAAGTACACATCACATTATTTGTTTTTTCGTTTCTTCAAAGAAAAATTGACTGGTTTATAAAAGACTATTCACTATCTGAATATTATTCATTTCAGTGAGGTTTTTTTATAAAGTTTTACCCAATTAACAGGCCACAATTTTTCTTTGAGAGAACAGCTAATTCTAATGTACATGCCTGTAGTGTAGCCTGTGTTTTGAAGATCTCTTTATCACTAATAACATGTTAATAATAATTAAATTTAAATACGATTTTTTTAATCTTTTATCCAGAAAATATCAGGCTACGCCTATGGTATGTATAATATGTGTGCACATATATAGCGACTATTTTTAATCAGCAACAAGTAAAACACGGCAATTCTTGAATTATCCGTAATATGTTTGCGAAATGTACAGCAGAAAGTTCTGAAACGATGCGTCAATTTAAAAATGACGTCGTATTTTTACGTTTATGTCTTAAAATAGTTAGAAAAACACAAAAGTCACTTTATTGGCCGGCATCCAGTGGTACGCGTTAGGAAAATATGTTTTCTACTATTTCTTACTTGTTCTGTGGTGTTAACTGTATAAGTGTTGATCGGAGAAACGTATTTCAATAGTTATTGTTGTTTATTGTTAAAAATATGACGATGACTTCGCTGCTAGAGCGTTTTCCTTCTCTGTCTTTCTGCTTGAGTTGTTGTACTGATAAAGATGTGTTGCTAGGCTCTTCGCAAGTGTCTTCTCCTCAACACAAGCCACAGCAGCTAGAGCTGCATCCAGGACAGCACTCTGCAAATGGTAACTTTTGCTACCAGCAATTTGCTTGCTTGTGATTGTTTTTTTTTTCGCTTCACTTTACCTATTTTTTGTTATATTTTCAATAATTACACCGGTTCTCTGTGTGTTCTATTAAAATTTCTTTTTATTACCTATATAAATAAAAATGTAGTTGCAACATTTATAGTTATAAGGGCGTTATTTTTATACTTCTAGGTTGTGCATGTCGTTTAAGGTATATTTTTCACAAAAATATTAATTAATATGACGTGGATGTAAAAGCAAGAAATTTAAGCCTGATAAATACTGTACAAAGTACATTGTAATATGTTACGTTTTTATTGTGAATTTCTTATTTTAATTAATAAATGTGTTTAATATTTTTGATAAAAAATTAGGTTTTCATTATACAGGGTGAGTCTTAAATAAAAATACATATATTTTTAGGGGTAGTATATTTTGACCTCAGAAACACGTCTATAAGGGTTTTATCGGGATTTTTTTTTTATTTGGAATCTTTTGAAAAATTTTGGATTTTTTTTTTAATTTCTTGTTATAAAGCATGTCTTCATAAAGGTGCGTTCGCACCGGCTGCGCGCCCAAAACATTTTTTTACCATATACTTGTGAAGTGTATTTTTGAGTGCGCACTAAAGTATATGTTAAAAAAATGATTTGCGCGGCGCAGCCGGTGTGAACGCACCTTAATATAGCAACATAGGTAGTAGATTAAATTTACAAGAACGAAAACCCAGAAAAGAAAATTTAAGGGTAAAATTAATTTTATTGAAATTTTCAAAGTTAAATATCTCTCGTTATTTTGGACATATTTGAACACGGTAAAGAGAAAATAAGTTTCTTTTATCGAGATCTACCAGGCCTGAATATATTTGCACTTATTTAAGATTTACCCTGTATATAGTTTTAAAATTTTGTATCTTCTAACGAAGCTACATTTACTGTATAATGTGACCATTATAATTTATTTTACATTAATTTTATTTTAAATAGTTTTTACATTAATTTTATTTTATATTGGTTTATTTAGTTATATTCATACGTCAAATTACATTGTATAAGAAATAGTCTAATAAGTATGTTATTTATTTTTAAAAGTTAATTGGATATTCTGAAACACTTCCTTCCTCAAAATTGATACAAAAAAAATACATAAATATATTTTAGCATCACCATTGCCGTCCCCCATGAAGTCACCAGCCAAAACTCCAATGAACAGACAAGCCTGCTGCACAGCCCTCTATGATTTTGAAGCCGAAAACCCTGGAGAATTAAGCTTTAAGGTAAACAGTCTATGTTTATATTCACGCCTACTACGACACTTTTATTTTGCACTGCACTGGCAAGTATTTTGAATTGATTAAATGCCAGTTTTAACTTCGTATTCTAGAAGTATAAATTTTAAAGCAGATTTTGCGACGCAATTTTTTACTAAAAGTAATTAAAAAAATAAAACTTTAGTTTTAGAAATCGTCTGTCTCGTTGAACATACATTTTATAGACTTGTTTACAGTTAAATAAAACATTAATTCACCACAGGACACAAAAACACTTTACTTTCGCACTGGACTCGCTTTCGCTAACCATGTTAGCATCATCATTAGCATCATCAGTAGATGATTAAGACTTAAGTTGGTTAGCGAAACGCGCGCAAAGTGCAAAACTAAAGTGTTTTGCACTGAGCGCGTGAACACTGTGAATTAGTGTTTTATTTAGCAAGGTTCCAACCCTCAACTGTAATTTAGTGTTTACAGTTGTTTAATTTTTTTATTGTTTTATAGTAAAGCCCCATATAAACATAACATTTTATCGGTCCGTTCTGCCTGTCAGTTAAAGCGGAAGAGCTTCTAGATGTTACGTTTATGATAATTGCCTTTTTAATTTTAGGAAAATGACATGATCGTTCTTCTAAATAAAATCGATGAGAATTGGTACGAAGGCAGTGTTGGGGGTCGCACAGGATATTTTCCAGTGAATTACGTGAAAGTCGACGTGCCACTTCCATAGACCAGTAACCTCAAAATATCCAATCAATTTCCGCAAGATGAACAACTTCCTATAATTTATTTTTGTATATTGGCTCTGATATTAACACATAATTTTTTGTGTCGTTTTGTGATAAGTATCCTTTTTTATTACTTCATTTTATCTTTATTTCACACAATTGCAAAGTTGCGTACCTCCGTTCTGTCATATTATCTTTTTTTCTATGTTAAATACCTCCGGACATTAGATTTTATTTTCTATCTATCGCCGTGTTGTTTTTAATTAACTACACTGGCCAATGTTTTATATGATAAAATTTAGTGATATGGTCTCTAGTCAACAAATAATGCGAGGTATTTGATATAATTGCTTTTAACAATTTAAAAAAAGCTTATCCGTAAAGATTAAATGATAATTACGAAAGAAAAATAGTCATTTTAAAAAAATTGGTACGTTTCTGCAACTGCACGATGTTAAGATGGGTAAAAAGTTTCGAGAAATTTGCCTTTTTGCTTAAATATAAGACTGGCAACAAATAATGCCACATCTCGACGTAAAAAATCTAAAATATTTTGCTAACAATTCCGCTGAGCATTTAAGTTTTAGTTTAATCGATTTTAACAAAAACAAATAGGTTTAAGGTATCGAACTGAATTTTTTCATATTTTCAAATTGAAATAAATCTTCCTAATATAATTTAGTTGCAATTTGTATATAATGATGAATATTATAGTGTATAAAGTAATTTCTTTTTTAGTTTTTAATTTAATAAATTAAATTGTGTAATAAACTGATGTGCAGTTGATAGTTTTGATGGCTATACAGGGCGAATTATAATTAGTTTGAATTACAATCCTTTTTTTATAAAACACAAATCAGTAACCTTAACTCCATAGAACAAAATTGTACATTGTAATTTGCCCTATATGAAAATAAAATGATAATTACTAAGATTTACTCATAAAAACTTAAGTTGTATATATTTTTTAGTAACTTAGATTAGTTTTAATACTGACATAGTTTATATTCTCCTTTATACTGTGAACGCTAAAAATTTTGAGGATGATAGGAATTTTATAACAAATATCTTTAAATTATTAAAACGCGAATATTACTAAATGGAAATAAAAAATAAATGTATATTTTAAACGTTGTGAGGTATATTCGAAGGATTGTGTAACCGTTTAAGGCTTTTATAATAAAATCATTATCATTAAAATTTATATTGTAATCATAAACTTTTACACATTTCTTCTCTATAGTGTGTTCTATGTCTTTGGTTGGTTTTTCTCTATGGAAATCGGGAAAATAAAACAAACACTATTGAATAACTTGCTATTATCACATAATGTTTTAATATATTTTCACTTCTGTGATAATAAAATAGATCTTGTTCAATTATTAGATATATTTAATTACTTCAATAATTTTGAAAAGAATTTTTAAAGGCATGTTGTCTTTAATTTTTGTTTTATTTTCAACTATACCATTTGTGTATTCCAGAAGTGGATTCAATATTGATATTAGTACCAAATAAGAGTTATTAAATTTTACTATTTATATTTGTTATACATTTCATTTTTGTTATATGAATATTGATTTTTACCAAAATCCCTCTTTGAATCCACTACTGACATAAACTAAAATAAAATAAGCAAGCATACTGAATACAGGACACATGATCACAAATGATATGTACAAGTTGATTCTAGTTTTCACATTTATTTTAGAAAATATAAATATGATATTATATAAACAGAATAAATGGCAAGAACTAGATTTGATTCATACTTCGATGTCTGTTTTCTGTATAAAACAAAATATATAAAAAGTTATTGCATGATATGGACTCAGTGTTAAAAAAAGAAATAATAAAAACTCTAAAAAAATTTCTGTTGATGTTCTTTAAATGTAGAGTAAAAATTTTCTGCTATTAACTTTTTATCTTATATGTAAAAATCCATATTCAGAATATTCCTTCTTTATAATTATAAAATCATTTTATAAAACCGTTTCTTTCGGATTATATAAGCCTGTTAAAAAAATAAAGAAGTTTATTCCATTTTGTTAAAAAAAATATAATTAATATAACATTTTTGGCTTGAAATTGCCAAATTACAAAAGATATCATCTATTAGAATTTGCTAGATGTTTTTAATGGTGTATAAATTTTAATACCAGATAAATTAGACAAAGTATACTTGGTTTGATTTTTGTTTCTTTTTCCATTTTCGCAGTAGTGGCCTAAGATTTATTGGCAAAAGAGCTTGAGCTATAAACAGACTTATAAAAGGAAAACAAAATTAAACCCTGTATAATTTGCATTAAAAATTCGTATTTATCATCTGGTTAAAGACAATACTTTAGATGTAAAAAATTATAATAAGCATTTGATTAAGGACATTGTTATATAAGTTGCAAGGGTTATCCACAAGCATACAGAACATTGTAACAAAAGTTTGATGATAGGCTTTTTGTTATTTCTGTTAAGTACAAGAAATTTAATCGCGTGTATCTTGTGGATGGCCTAAATATCCTTAAAAAACCCTACGATGTTTTTATTGTAATCTATATTAACTTACTACTTATCATATGGTGTAATATAAAATATACTACTATTTAGAGTCCTAACAGTTTCTTACAAACAGGTCTCGATATTACTGTTAAAAACAAGATAAATGTAGTGTTAATTTAAATTGTTCAAATAGTTTCCAAAGCAATAATGCATTTTCTCAAAAATCTCGGAGCAGTTTCAGTTTTGAACGTCAGCATACATGTTTCAAATAGAAACAAACGTAGGGTATGAAAAAACATATTGCTAGTTTTGTGTGCCTATATAAATATAAATATTTGTCATATATTGTCCTATTTAAACCATGTATTTTGACGTTGAAAACTCTGCAAACTTTCTCTTCTGTCTAAAGAAAAATGAAAATATTGTCAGCAGCACTGTTTTATATTATTTTTATACACATTTCAATTATTATTTATTCAAAAGGCCATATATTTCGTTTAAGCAAGTTACCAAATACTTTTAAATATTGTTAATACACATGTATACATTTTAAATGTTACCGTATTTGTGCATTAATAAAAAAATGTGTCACAGTTAATCATTTATCAATATCCCACCAAGAAATATCTACAATATAATTATTTATTTTATTTTTATTAATTATATAATATCGGGTATACACAAGTTTTAGAAATAATGGAATTTTGGGATACTCTGTTTCTTTCATACACAAAATCATTTTTTTAAAGCATTGACTAAATATTAATTTAGAAACACTGAATTATTTAATGTTCTATTACAAGTTGCAGATTGGAATGAGAAAGATATAAATGAACTTTACATCTATTACTGACGCAATTGCTCTATTAAAAATTATTTTATTTTGAAAACTTCTGAGAAAATGTAAACAATTATCACGGAAGATACATTACAGTGATCATTATATTCACGGACACAATGAATAATGTTAAGAAACTTAAGATACGTAGTAGAATTTGTGAAAATTTAGCTGGAGACGAAAAAAGTTAATATAAATGTTTTGAATTTTATGAAAGAAATTAATATATATCACCATCTGTGATTCTGTGATGTGACTACATATTTACCTATTTTTCGTGTTGTTTTTGTTAGTTAGTTTTTATTTTGTCTACTTTTCTGGGTCTGTTTTGATGTTTTTATCACTCAATATTTACTTATAGTTATTAGTTATCCATAACGTGTTGTCCATGGCTAATGATCCTGGTGATCGAAGTGACAAGTAAAACTATACTCGTGTTAAAGAAAATGTAATTTTTAATCAGCATAATAATTAACATTTTTGGTATTCTCAAACAAAAGTATCGTTGATATCAAATTTTTATGCAAGAATGCGTATATTCGTATTTTTTTGTCCTTGTCGGTGCTTTAATATATAGTTGTATCATTTTAAAGTCTAAATGTTATCATAACAGGTTATCAGGATCAAGGCTCTATAAAATGCTTGATCACAATATAATGGACTTATTTTTAACTTCAACAGTATATAGGATTTTCAAGCTTTTTTCTAATCTGTTCGGTCATGAACCTTTCGGTTTTTTTCCAAATGGGTGTTTTATTTTTCTTCATGATAATAGATTAATATTAAGAACTTTTATGACAAAAATATTTTTCTAATTAGTTAACTTTTCTTTAGATTTATAAACCAAACTGTATTATTGCTGGAATGAAAACAATAACAAGTTTTATATAGATAATAAAATATATTCCATAAAAAATCTAACTACATAATAAAATATATATTTCATAAAAATGTAACTACGCATAAACATTAAATCTAGATTAAATTCACTTTTCTAAGGCACAACAGTTTCAAAATAATGTTGAAACTATCTTAATAACTTAATCAACCAAAGTCTTATAATGAATAAGCCAAATTAAATCTAATACAAGAGAATATGAATTATAAAATAGTGATATGATTAATTCTTGCTGACTGCATGGTAATATGCAGATAACTTAAATTAAAAAAAAATAGATAGATAAAAAATTAAAGTTCCTAAAAATAGAAGCATTTTTTTAAATATAGCCCGAATTTAAATAAATTAATTAAAATTCGGTCTCTGAATTTGGTTTTATCTAAATGTATAATATCTAAATTTTCAAACAAACAAATTTTTATATCAACTTAAACCTGAAGTATTTTGATGCATGATTTTTTTAATGTTTTAAATGGGTTAGTAATTTAATTCTAAATATATCTTAAGAACGTAGGATGTTAGTACAAAAATTAAATTCTAATACGAAAATCTAAGTTAACACACTTCAGTCTTTTTATTAGTTGAGAAAGAAAAATATCACTTTATGCATGGGATGTGACTTGCTTCAAACATTGGCTAACAGATTTATCTCTGTCATCTAACAGGAGCCCTCCAAGAGATTCTTCCAAGTCGTTAAGGGTTCGAATAGAGAACTTTTTTCCTCTAAAATTGTGGACTGCCTTGGTTTCTCCCATTGATAAAGATCCATAAGGGATAAAAATTATGATATCTGCAATTCTACCATTCTCCACTTTCATGGTCACTTTGATTTGAGTGGAGGCACCAGAATTTTGATTCCACTCTCCAGGAACATTGAAGGTTTGGCTAACATTAAATGATGGGGTTTTACCATAGCACCAATCCCAGCTATTGTAAGTATCACGGATTTCATTTAAACCTATATAGAAAACGTATCAACGGTAAAATGAAATGAAGAACTTTTTAATTAAAATTTACCTGGAAACCAACTTTCTGTTGGGTTAACTAAATGGAAACCTTTTTGTTGATTTGCATATTCTATTCCTGCGTCTTCTAAACTTAAAGGTTTCGTTCTTAAGAATTCCCATCCTACAGCTTTTACAACAGATTCAGACGAAATTTGTGGATTCTCTTCGCATAGGTTCATCTTTTTAATGTAGGTATCGGTGCTTATAGTTGGACCAGTTTTTATAGCAACCTAAAAAAATAATTATATTTTATTTCAGATAATTACTAGATGATAAGTTATTTACATTATGTTTCTGAAGAACTATGTTTTCATCAACTTTATTCATTCTGACCATAAGGGAGTAAAAATTGTATGCATTTTGTTCACCAATTTTAGCAGCCTTACAGGAAAATTGCTATAATAATTACTTAAGGAAAATTTTGATGTACTAATATTTCAAATTAATTTTTGTTCTATGATATATAATAAAAAAAAGGATACTTTATTATTTCTAATTAACAGCTCTTCATCGTCTGTGTTAATTTTAAGTCCAAATTCCCTAAATAAACCTCTTGAAATTATTTCTGTGTTATATTTTGAATTATATCTGCCACGAGGAGAGAAGAATGTGAGATTAAGATTTCCATTATCTTGGTACATGGCTTCTCCATTGCTGCATCTTCTTGCCAGATGAACCCCATTTTCATTGAGGTCAGCATAGTTAGTCTCTAACCATGGGTTTTGATGAACTCCAATAATTACACATGGATCATTCTGCCAAATCATTAATACGTGATGATTTGTAAAATCAAACTTTTTATACAGCCATTCTTGTAAGGCCAAGTTAGTGTATATATCTTTTGACTGCGAAACAAAAACAGATTTTTTGATATTTTTTCCTTTAACAGAATCAGTCTTTGAGAAATTCCTAACAAAGAAGCTAGTTGTTATGGAGCTGATTTTGAGGGAAGAACGTTTAAACAGAGCCATTATAATTTGGTCTTATTAAAGACAAGTCTGGAAAATTAACCCAACGCAAACAGTTGGCAATAATATTTTGGAAATGTTGTGCCCTATAAAAAGTAACTCAATGAGTTAGAAAGTCTCTACAACAGGCGTTTTTAGAAGCTGATGTAAGGGCAATTAAGTAATCGTGAAGAGTAATAGTTTGGTGTAACCACTTCCACGTTTGGTGCAAAGAATTGAGACGAACGCGGAGGCCTAAACAGTCCTTTGTCGTTCTCAGCATTCCTCTCTTAACAGCCAGATTGAGAAGAAATAAAAAAAATCAACAGCTAACGGGACGACACAGATTTAGTTCAACACACTATGCGACACTATTTTTATCCAGGAACTGAGTACAGAAAAACTTGGAGGAGCACAGGTCTCAACACCGACAACACAAAATCTAACGAGTTTAACAATCAACTGACTTCAACAAGCTATCACAATAACCGTTTTATATAGAATGAAACTAGTGGGGATCCATATATCCTTGGAGTGATAACGATATTGTTATCATTTGAAATAAACAAGCTAGCCTAATTTTAGTTAATTAATAGCGAGGCTGTATAAAACTGTTATTGTGATAGCATGTCACCTCGTGTCGAGTTGCGCAAAAATATTTTCTACACATGCCATCGTGCCATGCAAGTGATTTATTGTATTGGAACGCACAATTACCACAAAGCTGCTTGTGGTAATCGCGCAGTTCATTGGGGACCTATTTTAACCTTTAAACATTCTCCACATTCGAGCTGAATATTAAAAGGTTTTGTATGCATTTTTTTCTAGTTTGGAATAGTTCTATAGTTAGTTGACTTAGCATTTATTAGTAAAAAAACTGCATTAAAAAACATTACATGTTCTCCTTGAAAACGTAATGCCAAATTTGCCATACTGATTATTTCGCTGTTTTTATAATCTAGGCTCATTAATTGTTCTCTCCAGGATAATTCTGAACTTAAACTCTATTTTTTCTTGATTTTTTATCTCATTTTCATTATTTACTTGTATTATAGGGTTAGGTAATGAATGACAAAAATATAGAAATCTAGGTTTTCCTAAAAATAGCAAGCAATCAACACATAGATGGGACTATATTCTTTGTATTCGGCCATCTAACTTCTGTCATTTTGTATATTGTCTTTATACACCCATTTTTAAACTATATATTATAACTACTTCCTACGTCTTCTTTGTTTGGTATGGCCTGGTGGCTGGTATTGAATATACGAATATACAATTTTTCATTTAAATCGACGGATTCTATCGTGATTGGGCCAGATTGGACCATTTGGACCACCTTCAAACCTGCGTTGCCAGAATGTCAAAAACTTCTTTGAATTAAATTACAATAAAGTAATAATTTTTCAATATTTGATTACTGATCAACTCATTAATTTTTTATTTAACAATTAATATCTATAATTTCAAAATAAATTTTCTAAACTAAACAGATATATATATATAGAAAGAATTGCTAATATACAGAATAATTTTTTTCTGTACACGTTGATAATAATAATTCTCAAATATATATTTACTTAAATACATATTCAACGAAAGTTAATATAAAGACTGTATAACCTCAGGGGCTCACATCTTGTGAGTACGGGCGTGGCAAGCCCGAGGTACCCTAGCTGGATGCTCACTTTGCTTCAAGTTTTCTTGGGTGAGATCCCTTGCTTTTGCCTTTTCTATGAAACTCTCTTGATGACTTTTAGACACTTGAACTCTTCGTATTTCTGCTTCTTACCTTCTTCTCTGAGGCTCAATGCTCAATAGGCTCGTGCGACTGCAGTTGATAGTCTGTAGTGTGAGATCCACCCATGATCCACCCTCCTAATTATTTTCAAAAAAAAAAAATTGTTCGGGTTTTTCATTTTATTTTATATGGGTATTTTTAACGAGACCTCGTTTAAGGAGTTAGCTTTATTAGTTTCCGAGAGATTCCCGAAAAACAATTTTTTTTAAGGGACATTTAAACTTCATTCATTTTTAAACAATGATAGCTGCCCTAGTTGTAGTTAAGTTGAACTTGACCTATATTTTCGAATTCCTTTTACAGTAACTTATATTTCATTCAAAAGTTGCCGCTATAAGCTCCGCCCTAATCCAAAATGGCCACGGTTTTCAAGTTGTCATATATTAATTTCTTATTGGTCCATGTTGTATCTTGTACGGAGTATAATCATTAATCTTTGGTTTTTGACTGTCGTTTTTGATTTAACACACATTTGACATCTTAATTTGGGCAGAATTTCTTTTTGTATTTTTAATAGGAAACGTTTGTTTATTTTCTTCGCGTAGTTACAACAAACAGATTTCAGTTATAAGCTTTTCTCAGTCTCTCCAAACAGTAAGTGTTTAATATTTTGTGTTTGTTTAATTATTTTCCTGTCCAGAACACGGGCCATAACGTTTATCCTAAGGTTTATCCCAAGTAGTGATTGGATTGAACGTTGTCTTCTAATTTTTTTATCTATTTAACTTTAAAGTGAATTTTTAAATTACGCTGTAATTTACAAAAGAAATAAATCACTCGTAACGGTCAAAACAAGTTTATCAAAGTTCAAAGCAGTATTTATATTGTCGGAGCTTATGAAGCAGTGAAATGGAGGATGAAAAATAGAAGAGGGAATAAGAAGAATATGAAATTAAGATGACGAGGAGTGGATTGAAGATGTTTTAAGAATTGGAGGGTGAAGAATAAGGTAGTGTTAAAATAACTGGAGAATAAAAATAATTGGAAAATGAGAGAATGGTTGACCAGTTTGAGAAAGAGGTGTAGCTTTTTTTCAGAGATCAACTACCTATAAGAATCTATGAGAAATTTTCAAGCGAAATCATTGCAGTGCAAGTTGTGGGATAACAGTATTTTGGCTACACATTCCTTGTAAAATGTAAGAGTACTAAAACGTTATTTGCATATTAGATATATGTATAATTTGAATTACTACATATGAAGGGCGAGGGAAGAGAAACAAAGATGTTCTCAGTAAGTTAGTTTTGTGACTTGTTGGTTTCCCCCTTACCCTTCATATTAACAATTTATTATGAAAGTATTTTGAATGGATTATCTATTTGGAAAACCTAAATTTATTTTTTAGGGAATATTTTCCAAACTACTATGTTGGATGATCTTCGTGTTTGTAGAAGAGTAGTATCAGATGTGTGCTATCTCATGTCCTTAGTTTTTTAACTATTGTAAAAGTTTAGAAACAGAAGCATTCTTTGACAAAATGTAAGTTTAAATTTTATTCACACCCATAAACCGCCTCATGTGTTTTTTGCCTCTAAAGTTCTAGAATGCCATAATAACTGAAGATCTTAAAACTAAAATCCTCGCATCAAATGCTAATTTTAAATAGGGTATAAATTATCTTAAAATAAATTGAAAATATAACAATAAAAATAGTTTTTTACGTTTTGTAAATAATAAATCCAATACAATATATTTTGGTATTTTTTTGACTCACTTTTTAGTAATTTAACCCACTACCTAAAATTAAAATAACATTATTGTTAACAAAGACGGCTGTGGTTTTTGCTATATGAAAATACCTCTTTCTTATTGGTCAAGTCAGATACATATGTCATGATGACTGCCGGAAATTGGCGTCGGACATATTGATTTTGAATGCCGAGAGATCGTCGACGCCGGCATTTACAATTTTCTTATTTTTTTAATAAAAAGTGAATGTTGTGTATACTACTTTTTCGAAAATTCTTGTTTGTGCATCGCTCAGCCTGTCCAAAAAGTGAGTACTTGATATTTGCTTTATATTACAATTATTATAATATCTTGTTTATCATTTTTTGTAACCGTCATGGCGTCTTCGCTATTCTTGTCTTAATAATATCATTAATTGATAGTCTTTGATTTCTCTTAAGGTCATCATAGATATCTACTACAGTGCTTTAAATATCGCACAGTTTTTGAACATTTTCTAAACTTTTAATGCGGTTTATTTCATTCTGTTATGTAATGTGTAGCTAAGACTTTTCAAATGTTTCGAAATATTATGAAGAAAAAAGAATTACTGTTAATAGTTGTTAATTTGTTGATATTAATGCAGTCTCTTCTAAGAAAAGGCCTTATTAGTTTGAAATTATTCTGTTAAATTCTAAAATTAAATTTCTCCCGTTAATTTTTGTGTTATTTGATGTTTGTTTTGGTGTAACTGTCCTTCGAAAAATCTTGTTTTATTTATTTTTTATTCTAGAATTGTTATGGAGAGATCAAAAGGTGACGCTCCAGAGCGCGACGCTGCTTTTTTCTATAGAAGAGACAAATCTGCACAACAGGACAGCCACACTATGGACGTGACGTGAAGAATTTGTTGTTATGCATCTGCCTGACGTCGATTTCGGATTCGGGATTCCGAATAGAGAGGCTAGTACACCCCAGCTCAACCTAAAACCAACTAAAGTAAGTTTATTTTATTTTTCTCTGTTATGATTTCTGAAACTGATTATTTTTTTTCTATTTTTCTAGGATAATTCGCGTTCGGGGCGCGTTTAAATCAAAGAAGATTCCAGATGAAATATTGCAAAACGCGTGTGATTGGTCCTAAAGCTTCTTCAATTAGTTCTCATTAGAATCCTTCTATAAGAAAAAGGTAACCGCAGCTGGGCTAGGGCCATCTTCATCAGGTAAGTTTATATAATCTTTTCATTTTTTACTGGGGTTAATAATATTTTTCCCTTTTTAGTTGGTATGCGTAGGCGTTTGTGGCTATTGTCTTCTCTTATGTTATTGTAAAGACGCCTATAATTTTGGAAAAAATATATATTGATAAATAAGACGATGGAGCAGGAAAATGAGAGGAATAGAAGAGGACTTGGAAAATGATAAGAATAGAAGAGGGAATATGAAATTGAGATGATGGAGGAGCTGAATGAAAATGTGTTTAAAACAGTGGAGCGAGAATTATAAGGTAGCTTTTAAACAATTTGCAAGTGAATTGTTTTACAGATACTTATTTGAAATTCTTATTTTTTCAGTTAAATCGCTTTTAAATATTCACAAGTCTCTCGGGGTGGTTTAGCTTTTTTGAGGGGACATGCAGACATTTTACCAGTGCAGAGCTCACTATAAGAAAGCACTTTTCTTCAGCTGAATATTGCCTCTATAAATGTAAGTAATAGACATCTATTTGGTGAAGCTGTAAACCTTAATAAAATGTTTTTTTTTTCTTTCTTTCAGGGAATATGTTGTGTTCTAAGCACTCTTGGTTGGTCCCTCTCATGATTTAGATGATGCTATCTTACGTCTTAGTATTTCAGTAGATTGGCCAACTTATCAAGCAATCTAGAAACTGGAATTTGCTTGTAAAAAATGTAAGTTTAAATTTAATCTACTGAAAATTTGTATTGATTAGATTAAGATAATTTGAATATTATTTTATTATGTACTATTAACAATTTCATTTAAATCATATGTTAAGAGAAAAGCTAGAAATGAATTATTTCTTTTATTTTAGGAAATACATACTGCAATATGGCCTCAAGAGCCTCGTTTTTTCTCTCATATCTCACAATGTAACAGCTGTAAAAATTAATTGTCCTAGCTCATGAATGAATCTGGAAGTGGCAACTTTCTGTTACAAATGTAAGTTTATAATAGATAGTTTTTTAATTGATAGTTACTAGCATTCTTCTAAAAAGTAAGAAGTAATTTTTTTGACAGTGGTTTGGACTTTGTTCTTGATTTTAACATTAGATTTTTTACCATGGGCCACCACTTTGTGAAAATGAACAAACTCTATAACTTATAGTAATCTATGTATGTGTTACTTATTATAACTTTTCTTTTAGGTATTTATTTTTCTGCTTCAGGCTGTTGCTTCCCTCCTGCGCCTCCTCATCTTCAGCTGCATTCAGCAAGAGTTCCTCCTGCTCCTTCATAATATACCAAAAGGCTGGTTCTGTATATTATGTGTATAGGCGTTTATTTTTATTGGTACTGTTGTAAAACTTTGATAATCTGGACAAACTTTAGGCTTTGAAAATGTCATTGTACTGCAGAAAAAATTATATAGGTGATAATTTATCCATCATTTGTCAACTATAATATATCAACTATATATAATATCATCAAAATGTCAACTATAATATACCTATAAATCAGTAAAATAAATCAAAAAGTCATATTTTGTTATAATAAAATTTATTTTCAAGTATCTTTAATTAATGCAAAATTATGATTATTTTATTGTCGCCGTCATAATTATTTTTATTTATTTACTAACTTTTTTAGTGTATTACCTTATGGACATCTGACATCTTTCATATTTTTTTTAATTCCTATCGGTTCTAATTAACAACCATAGAATTGCCAGATTATCATAGTTATTTTTTTGAATAGTCAATATATTTTAAATTAATGAATTAATTATATAGTGATCATTAACAAGAATAGAAGTACCGTATGATCGAAAAAAGAAACGGCGTCCAGTTGGCTAGGAAATGACGATCGATGTCATTTCCCATATAAATGTACATATAAAATGACAGCGATCTTCATTTCATAGCCATCTCTGACGCCGTTTTCTTTCAATCATACGGTACTATTTTGAAGCATATTATATAAATGAAACCGACAATTGCATCAGTACAATACATTATATATTTATGTTAAATAGGAGCAATCTGAAGTCTGTTTCACTAGTGCTATCTGTATATGCACGGCAGAGATTAGATTCCTAGAGATGGCTCTCGGCGAGATCCACTGCGGGCCACGTCTAGGAATCACAAGATAAAAGGTAAAATAAATATTTTAATATATTTTTTTATTAATTTACTTAATTTAAAAGCACAATGAAATTATAACTGTTTTATATATTATATTTGTAACACATTTCTCAATATTTATCTTGTTCACGTTTGTTTCACGTAAATTTACTCCTGTACGAAAAGAATATTTGATTCAAAGCATACAATCTTATACAATTGTGTTCATCAGCACCTATGATCAGCACCTTTCAATATATTTTTTAAATATGGGTCCAATAAGTAAATTGGGAATATATACTTCAGAGATCGCAACTATTCCATATATTGTTTTTACTTATGTTTTACTTACTGCGTAGGTAAAACTGTCTATTATTTCTATGTTTGTATGTTAATATTAGGATATATTTGATATTAATAAAATGTCAGTATTTTTGTTTCTTCGAAAGATCTCATACATTGCAATAGAAGGAGTGTTAGTGCCAATTAAAATCATTTTAATTATTTTTTCGTCTTAGAGTACTTTCTAGAACAGTAGGTTCTGTAGTGGACTTTTGGTTTATTTTTTGAACTGTGGCAAGTTTATAAACCTACAAATGTATCTAAATACAGAGTTAACTAAAACGTTTTATCAATTTACTGAGTGGGTTTTCATTGTTGCCATCTTAATTATTATGTTTGATAAAGTAACCCTTAAATAACTTAGGTTATAGACACAAGTCACGATACAGTTATCAATAACATCATTTTTAAGTAAGCGTTTTATAAATATATACAAATAGTTGTTACTTGAATTACACGTTATTTATTAACTAACTTTTACGTCGTATTTTGCTTAAAAAAACTCTTGATATGACGTATGGGCATCATGCCCAATCCTATTAAGATGCCAGCAATTTTTTTTATTAATACTAATAATTGCATTCTTACTGTTTCCCTGTTTTTTTTACAATATTCAGAACTCGTTTTTTAATAGCTAATAAAGTCTTAAAAATTTTATTCTTAAACATTTCACAACAATATTTCTGGTAAGTATTTCTTCAAAACGTATAATATTTTTTATATTCATTCTTATTTTATTTTTAAACATTTTTAGCTAACTTGAAATATAAAACTAAAGAAGTTTTTCAAGCATTTTAATGTTTTTCATTATAAATTGTATTTATAGTTCAACATTTTCAGATTACAGGGGTAAAACTAATAGTAAGTTAACTAAGGTTATGTGTATGTTTTTTTCATTTATATAGAAACCTAATAATAATAAATAATTTTTATTTTTAGTTAAAAATAACTAGTAATGTTTTTTAATACGACTTAACTAACATAAATCATTATTAGTATTAGAGTTTAACCGTTCGATTTTGAGGGTGCTAATATAAACTTGTCACATACCTATACTGAACCATCTATATCTTTATGCGAAAATGTATGAGGTCTTTTATTTGTGGAATATTAAAGGATTGTGCTGCGGTGTAAATCGGCGATGTAGGAAAGGTAAGAATTAGAATAGTCGCTGTCTAAGATTTTTTGCTCTACGCCTGTGTTTCATTCATTCTATATTCCTATTTTCCGTTAAATGATTAAAATACTCCAAATATACCACGGGCGTAGCATAGAAACAGTCATTCCTTGGTGCCTTATTATACGCTTAGTTATACTTTTTACTTTTTTTGTAAATATTGAACACTTTAAATTTTTGAAATGATGCAGATTAAATCTTATTTCATTTCTCTAAGAGTATTTAAAACCAATTTTTTTTTTCATTTGGTTGGTACACTGTGTACCTATGAAATTAATTTTTAGCTCTAGTAGTTCCTCAACGACCATTCGCCATTCAAAACTTCTAAAAATCTAACCATTTATCTACAATACTCTGTCGAATAGCGCGAATAACCATGTATATAAAGTTTCGAATTAAAGTATTCCTCTAGTTTGAGATATTTATTCTAATATATTATATATTAATTACGCATACTGTAATCTAATTTTTCTTAATATTAAAACTGAAAAGTACTACGCACCTGAAGAGTTCTATAAATTCTGCGACAGCTACTTACCGTCTTTACGTCATTATAAGCCGATTTCAGCCCACTAATATCTTTTCTTTTGCAGTTGGCCTTGCCTACAACACATTTTCAAATTCTGTAATGAAAATGTGTAATAGGAGAAAATATACAAAAAGGAGTATAAGTTTAATATAACTTAAACTTAACTTCTTTAGGTGGCCACACCGGTGCAATACCTCTGTAGCGACCCAGAGCCTATGACGGCGGTGGGCGGCATCGGAGAATTCCATGCACAAGCCAGCTGCCACATATTTTGAATCATTTACTGCTAGGGTCGCACTCATGGTCGCACTGCTGCACAATCATTTTAGTATTCCAGAAAAATTTTCGCAGTTGGCCTTGTCCGCTACAATTATAGCGGGCAATGAAGACTTCTGGCTGCACCGAGCCATGGGCCAACGTGGCTTTGGAAGAACTTCCATATGCAGTCCATATTGGTCTTTTTCTCGGTACAGCCATGAAAGATTTGTGTTGGAGAGTGACACACACACACTCCTTTATGTATGCGTTTAGTACACATGTCTCTACGTGTACTAAACTTATATATATATATATATATATATATATATATATATATATATATATATATATATATATATATATATATATATATATATATATATATATATATATATATATATATATATATATATATATATATATATATATATATATATATATATATATATATATATATATATATATATATATATATATATATATCACATATCCATAATATTAGTAGAGTTTGTACATTATATATAAGATATATATGTACAAAGACGTACACACGTTACTGCTGCTGCTATATGTGATCATATACCAACATATATATATATAAAAACATATATATTTGATATGGGCTGTCTATTTGTTAACTTAACAAATATAATAAATATACGTATTTGGAGTTATTTGCATGTATTTAATTAAAAATATATATATAGGACGATACCGTTACTGTATGTGTATATGTGATCATATACAAACAAAATATTAATCCTTAAAACATGGTTGAACTGGGCTGTCTTTTTGTTAGCAAAACAAGGTATGGTAATATATATTACAGGAGTATAGTTGTATATATCACATATCCACACAGTAGAGTTTGTACATTATATAAAGATATAATGTACAAAGACGTACACACGTTACTGTATGTATATGTGATCATATACAAACAAATATCCTTAAAAACATATGATTTGAACCGGGCTGTCTTTTTGTTAACTTAACAAATATAATAAATACGTTTTGGAGTTATTTGGTTGTTTTAATTAAAAAAAAATTATATATTTTGTCGATAGTTGTACCCTCTGGTGACAAAAGGCTGAACCTAAATTTTTAATTCAGCGTTTTGTCGCTAGAGGCGCTACCATCGGTTAAAAATTTATGCGATTGTAGCGCCCTCTGGTAGCAAAAGGCCGAAACTAAATTTTTAGTTCGGCGTTTTGCCGCTAGAGGCGCTACTATCGTTCAAAAATTTATGCGACTGTAGCGCCCTCTGGTGCCAAAAGGCCGAAACTAAATTTTTAGTTCAGCGTTTTGCCGCTAGAGGCGCCACAATCGGTCAAAAATTTATGCGACTGTAGCGCCCTCTGGTGCCAAAAGGCTGAAACTAAATTTTTAGTTCAGCGTTTTGCCGCTAGAGGCGCCACAATCGGTCAAAAATTTATGCGACTGTAGCGCCCTCTGGTAGCAAAAGGCCGAAACTAAATTTTTAGTTCAGCGTTTTGCCGCTAGAGGCGCTACTATCGTTCAAAAATTTATGCGACTGTAGCGCCCTCTGGTGCCAAAAGACTGAAACTAAATTTTTAGTTCAGCGTTTTGCCGCTAGAGGCGCCACAATCGGTCAAAATTTTATGCGACTGTAGCACCCTCTGGTGCCAAAAGGCCGAAACTAAATCTTTAGTTCAGCGTTTTGCCGCTAGAGGCGCTACTATTGTTCAAAAATTTATGCGAATGTAGCACCCTCTGGTGCCAAAAGGCTGAAACTAAATTTTTAGTTCAGCGTTTTGCCGCTAGAGGCGCCACAATCGGTCTAAAATTTATGCGACTGTAGCGCCCTCTGGTGCCAAAAGGCTGAAACCAAATTTTTAGTTCAGCGTTTTGCCGCTAGAGTTGCCACCATCGATTAAACTGTATGCGAGTGCAGCGCCCTCTGGGAGCAAAATACCGAACTAAAATCGCAAATTTGGTTTGGTTAAGCTTTGGTGAAAAAATGAAATCCAGGATACTTTTAAATCAGATTTATTAAAAGGCAAAAAAATGAACAGGAGTTAAATAGTATACATAATATTATAAATTACCTACATTTTATTAGTGTGATATCTATAAATCTATAAATGCGTGCTGTGTGTCATATATAAATATATGACACACAACACGCATATCGCACTTTGCATGTACATGGACAGATACATATAGTACATGTACGTACTATATTATATTATATAGTACCTACTGTGGTGTATTGTATTATATATATATAATATTACACACACAGTAAGCGCGTACCCGCAAAACCTACTTGATTTCATAGTATTATGAAATCAAGTAGTCTCTGATGGTTACAAGAAACAGTTCTAGGCAGAACTGCCATAGCTATACCAAAAAAAGACCAAGGCGGCATATGGATGTTCTTTCAACGCCGCCTTGGTCCCTGGCTCGGTGCAGCCAGAAGAAGTTTTCCTTGCCCGCTACAATTGTAGCGGACAAGGTCAACAGCGAAAAACTCATTGGAATACTAAAATGATTGTGCAGCAGTGCGACCCAAGGTGTAACGATCTAAAGTATATGGCAGCTGGATTGTGCATGGAATGCATGGAATTCTCCGATGCCACTCTATTCTCTGGATCGCTACAGCCCGAGGTTTTGCACCGGTATGGCCACCTAAAGGTGCGATTTCCTAGCGACGTTTGGCGCACAAGTCTGGCGTCCACGTCTCGACGCACACTGGCTCGTTTTTTGAACGTACGTGGCTAAACCTGTATATATCAATGAAAAGTAATGTATGGCCTTTATAGGGAAACAAACCAGTGCGCGGCGGGTCGCGGACGCCAGACGCCGCTAGGAAATCAGACCTTAAAGAAATGTAAGTTTAAGTTATTAAACTTATACTCCTTTTCGTTTATTGTCTCCTACTACAAATTTTCATTACAGAATTTGAAAATTTTTTGTAGGCAAGACCAACTGCGAAAAGAAAATATTAGTGGTCTGAATCGGATTATAAGGGCGTAAAAAAGGTAAGTAACTGTCGTAGAATCTATAGAATTCTTCAGGTACGTAGTACTTTTCAGTTTTAATATAAAAAACCGTGTGACCCAAGGTGTGACTAAAGAAAAATTACATTACAGTTTGCGTAATTATTATCAGGGTGTCACAGAAATAAGTGCAAGTATTTGAACTGGTAGTATAGTTCAACCCCAGAAACACGCCTATGAGGTTTTTTCGAGAAAAAAAAAATTTGAAATTTCGAAATTTTTTGAAACATTTTTTCGAAATTTTTGTAAATTTTTTAGAATAAAACATAATTTCTTGATAATATGGCAACATTATAGGTATTAGATTAAATTTACAAGAAAGAAAATCCAGAAAAGATCCGCAGTGGTACTCAAAATTTTAGCAAAAAATAATTTTTTTTTGGAAATTTTCAAAGTTATGTTGTAGTTGGATCATTTAACGGATAATAGGAATAATGAAAGAATGAACTATAGGAGCGAAGCAAAAGTTGAGAAAAAATCTACGACAGCCGCTAATCTAATTCTTACCTTTTCTACATCGTCGATTTACACAGCAGCACAATCCTTTAATATCCTACAAATAAAAGACCTCATACATTTTCGCATAAAGATATAGGTGGTTCATTATAGGTACGTGACAAGTTTCTATTAGCATCCCAAAAAAATATTGGTCTAAAAATACCGTCCTTTGAACAAAGCTGTTACAATAACTTAGAAATAGAAGATAGCATTATATTTTGCAGTATATTATAAATAAAATAATATATTAGCATCATTAAGAAATTAATTAAAATAAGAACTCTATGCTACAAATTAATTCTTCATATGACAAAAATTACTTTTTTAAAAATTTAATTTCTCAGAAAGTATGAGCCTCCAGGTAATAAAAACTTGCTTAGCTACTACTGGTTATAATATGTATAGATAAATATATAAAAAGAATTTTAAAAATAACTCTAAATTCATTTAGGAATACATAAAATGTAGACAATGAGTAAAATGTTTAAGAGTAGAATATAAAAACTTTATGAAATGCCAGCATATGAAGAATAATTATTCTTATAAAGTGCTTATATTAATTTTTAAACGGAGCTCTATGAATACAAGTAGAATAAAATTCTACAGTTATAAGAGTTCATTGCATTGACACTAACACTAAAAAATTTAGTTAATGTTCTCTTCTAGATTATTATCTTTAATTTAATTTAAGACGCAACAATTAAAAAATGAAAAATTCTAAAATTAAACAATTAAACTTGCTACAATTTTACAAAAGGGGACAAAGTATAAAACATATTACCAATCATTAATAAATACCACCTTATTCTTAACGTCTTTTAACGCCACCTTTTATATTAATAAAAGAGGTTAATATTAATAATTAAAAAACTGAAATAAGAGGTTTACCACAAAATATATACGTGTCTTTAAAAAGCTATGCCACTGTATACTGAAAAAAAAATTAAAAATGTGTATTGAGACAAAATTAAATGTATTCATATTGCTCATATCGTTTTACAGAAATAAAATATAATCGGCATTAATGTAAAATAGAATAAAATATAAGTGTGCCATTCATGTAACATATGTTAAAAAACTAATTTTATTTATGTATTGCTGTATTTAATTAGTTTAATTATCAGCTGTAAACTGTATAACTGTACTGAGCTAAAAAATAAACTAATACAAATAGACGCGAAAATTGAAAATTTAAAGTTACAATACTTTATACATTAATACGTTAATACAAGAATAAAAGTAGTGTTTTTGTAGTAATAAAGTATATTAGCATGGATATTACTTAACTCAAGTAAGTACTCTAGATGAATTTAATCATTTTTAATAAAATAAAACGAATCTAAATAATATAAAAATTAAAGACAATGGGAATTCAGAATTACACCATTGATGTATCTCTGGTTGCATACCCATTAGAAGAACCAATCCATTGACGTTATAGCTAATAGACTATATATATTTATTAACACTATTAATTAATGTAACTTAATTTATTAAATATACCTTTATAAAAAATAAGCAATAATAAATTTTTAATAGTATTTTTTATTAATACTATATAAAATTTATTACTACGTAATACTACGTATTACCCTGTTGAAGATGAGGAAGAGCAGGTGGGAAGCAACAGCCAGAAGCAGCAAAATAAATACCTACAAGTAAACATACTATAAGTAACAATATTATATATAAAGTATTTATAAGATACTCAAGAACTATTTAACCTAAATATCTAAGAATATATTTAAACTTTATTACTCATTTTTTTTATATTATTGTAAAATTCTATGGACAGAAGAAAACTTTCAAATAAAGAAAATACCGTAGAGATATTATAAAAATACGAAAACGTAGGACAAAGGCAGCTGCAATATTTTTTATTTTCTCCTTCTGCATATAACTTTTTCATTTTTTATTATTGCCCTTCTGTGCTTCTTATTATATCTCTAACGAAAATAAACACTGATTCACAGGTATCCAGTAGCTGCTGCCACTTTTACTGATACGTCAGCACTGGCATGGTTGTAGCACCTTCTAAACACATCTCAGTACCAATCACTAGCACAAAAAAGTATTTACATGGTATCACTACTACGTCAGGGCTGGTGAAACGTTCCAGTGAAACCGGCAATAGCTACTGGATACGTGTAAATCAGACTATAAGATTAAAATTAGAAATGTTTCTTACTTTTAAGAAGAATGCTGGTAGCTCTATCAATTTTGAGATTTGTGACAAGTCTAGACAATCTACTGCTGCTGTTCCATCAACATAAGGGAGGTTAGTCCAGTGTTAGGAATATTGTATTGTAATATACCCTAAAATAAAATAAATAAATAAGTATTGACTTTAATAATAGAGAATCATTGAACTATTAAAATCAGACACCTATTAGTGTCAAGAAAAATAAATAATATTATAAATAAAATTGTTAATAGTAGATAGAAATATACATAATAAAATAATATTCAAATTATTTCTAATCAATATAAATTTTCAGTAGATTAAAATTAAACTTACATTTTTTACAAGCAAATTCCATGTTCCAGATTGCTTCATAAGTTCGACAATCTACTGAAATACATGAAAGAAAAAAAAAAGAATCTATTAAGGTGTACAGCTTATTCAAATAATTTTTTTAACCAAAATAATAATAGCAACCATAATTAGTATTAAGCAATTAGAAATGTATTAAACTTACATTTATAGAAGGAAGATTCAGCTGAAGAAAAGTGCTTTTTCATATTGACCACCGCATTGAACCCTAGTAAAATGTCTCACGTCCTCTCAAAAGAGCTAAACCTCCCCGAGAGACTTGTTTACCAGCAATTCAACTGAAAGAAAAATCCAAATATGTATTAGCAAGTAAATTGTTGACAATCGCTGGCACGAAAAAGTGTTTACATGGTATATATACGTGTAAATCAGCCTTAAGTATAAAATGAAATGTTTCTTACTTTTAAGAAGAATCCTGGTAGGTAGTTCTATCCAGTATTATGAGATTTGTGAACAAATCAAGATAATCTACTGTTGTGGTTTCATCAACATGGGAGGTTAGCCAAGAGTGTCAGGACTGTTAGGAATATGTTATTGTAGTATTTCCTAAAATAAAATAAATAAATATTAGCTTTATCCTACTCTAAAACGTGTTTCAAACTATATATAGTATATGAGAGAACAGACCAGAGTCTTCAAAGTTTTCTCATAGCATATGATTTAAATTAAATTGTTAATAGTAGATGGAATTTTTTTTTTATAACATAATAAAATAATATTCAAATTATCTTAATCTAATCAATACAACTTTTCAGTAGATTTAGAGATTATCTTGATTGAATAGTTGATTAGAGAAATATAAACTTACATTTTTTACAAGCAAATTCCAGTTTCTAGATTGCTTCTTAAGTTGGACAATCTGCTGAAATACTATAAGTCGTACTAGCATCATCTACAGCAGTATCCGGCCGAAGACTCTAGCTTTAGAACACCTAGTTCGTAAACCAGAGGGTGGTGACTCCCTTGGGTACTTATGCATTCTACATAGTTCATCATAAGGCATAACATCAACTTCGGGAGATAATCCAGGTCTCCTCTACAGAAGAAGGTAGCGCCGCGCTCTGGAGCGTCACCCTTTCATCAAGTCCGTTCGGACACCACTGGTAAAATTTACTTACGTAAATTTCATTAATTGCCATCAAGTTAATTAATAATATCCCTGCCGGTTCAGCCATTGGGCGACAGTGTGCTGATGTGTAGTATTAAACCGCGTCTGAAAAGAAAAGTAAAACACTGTAAGACATTTGACACTAACTAAAGGAGAAAAAAAGGTCGAAAGAAAACAAGAGATCAAAGGAAATCGATGGAAAGAAATAATAAAAGAATGGATCTCACCCAAGACAAGTCGAAGCAAAATGAGTTTCCAGCTTGGCACCTCGGGCTTACCGCGCCCGTGCTCACAAGCTGTGAGGGTATACACAGGGTATTACTTAACGACATGGCAATATTTAATGGGGTGATTCTTCAAACTATTCTAAAAAAACTTCATATGAATGTATGTCATCTTAACTATTGAGATATAAGGTGGTAAAATTCTTTAAAAAAAGTTTTTTCATAATAACTCTGATATATAATTAATTACCTTTCCAAATTGGAAACATGTCTTCCAAGCATAAAAATGAATTTTATGATATGCACAAAAAAAATTGTTGTATCTCTTAATTCTTAACATTTTTTTCTCAAAATTATTCAATGTACAACCCGCATATCCGCCACTGGTTGAAAAACATAAAATTGTATATACATCGATACCGATACGTGTATCAAGTTTGATAATGATATCTATAATAACATCAGAGCAATTATGAAAAAAAATGTTATGTCAGAAAATTTTACCACTCTGTATCTCAAAAGTTAAGGTGTTATGACATTTGATTTTTTCTTAGAATATTTCCAAGAATCACCCTCTTTAAATATTAGCGTGTCATTAAGGAATACCCTGTAAAGTAATAATAAGAGGACATAATAATTAAAAAATGAAAAATTCTAAAATTAAACAATTAAAATTATTTCTAGAATTTTACAAAAGGGGACAAAGTATAAAACATATTACCCAATCATTAATAAATATCACCTTATTCTTTATACCTACGTTTGGCTTTAAAAAAATGAGATTAATAAAATAGGCTGATAATAATAATTAAAAAACTGAAATAACGGTTTACTACAAAATATATACGTACTATCTGATTAATAAACAAAATAAAATGCAGGAGATGTACCACAATCACAAATTCCAGAAAAACTCAAATCATAAAAAGTTTCTTTATTTTTCAATTGCTTTTGAAGTTATTAACTTATTTATTTATTACTTATTGTTAAATCATACAAGAAAAACATGAAATAACTGTTATGTAAGGATATAGGTAAAAACGATATTTGATAAAAGTTATTGACAAAAATAAGTAACAAATTTAATATATCTGGAAAGCTAAAACCTAAAGAGCTAAATATCAACCTAATTGTCCCTATATACTTAGTGCGTAATTTAATTTTTACTCCATTAACAGTTCGAGAACAAAAAATAAACAAAGAACTTACAGAATTTTGTACACCATTAAAATGTTCGTAAAATGTCTGATATTTAATGCTCTGTAATAAATACTATTTATAATGACCTTAAAACAAATCGAAAACCAATAATTAAAAATATTAAGACAAGAAAAGCGAAGACGCCATGACGGTTACAAGATTGCAAAAAAAATTAATCCAGATATAATAATATAAAGAAAATATCCAGTACTCACTTTTTGGAGAGCTCAGCGATACCACACACAAGAGTTTACGAACAAATATAGTATACATTAAACTCGCTTTTTATTAAAGAAATCACAAAATTTTAAATGCCGGCGACAGAAAGCTGCGAATCTCTTGGCATTCAAAATGGACATGCGCGACGCCAATACGCCAATTTCCGGAAGACGGCATGACATATGTGAGTTGGCCAATAAGAAGGAAGTCACAGGTGTCACAGCCCTCTTTGTTAACAATAATTTTAATTTTAACTTTATATAGTGGGTTGAATTATTAAAAAGTGGGCCAAATTAATGCCTTTTAAACAGTATTGAATTTATTATTCATAAAATAAAAAATGTTTTTTGAGCAGATTTGTATCTAAATTTGTGAGAAGTCGGCAAAGTTGTTGTCAGTAGATGCCAAAAAAGGGGTACGAGATTATTTCTAAATTTAAAATGTAGAATTAAAAATAAAAAAAATGAAATGTAGGTTACTATAAGGAATGCGAAAATATCGGTCAAGTTCAACTTTACTACAAGTAGGGCAGCAATAACATTTGAATGAAGTTTAAATAATGCCCCTTATGAGAAATTGTTTTAAAGATATCTCTCGCGCGCGGGAACGTATAGGACTACCTCCTTGAGCGACGTCTCCTTGGATTCGGGGATGCAAAAGAAATGCCACGACAGTATAGTTTCATCTATCTGGAACCTCTATTTTAGGGGTAGTTTTTTAATTTGATTTTTTAAGTAAATAATCGAGAATATATGGGATTATCGACTTATCTGAATCGTCATTGGATCCAGGGGCGCATAAGGCATGAACTGACAGGAGTTTCATCCCTAGCAGCCTCTATTTTAAGGGTAGTTTTTAATTTTTGATGTTTTTTTGGTTAATAAATTGAGACCAGATAGAGGACTATCGACTCAATTAAGGTATCGTAGGATTCGTGACTATTTAGGTATCAACTGTAAGTAGTTCCATATCCCTCTACAACCCCAATATAAAAATGTAGATTTTGACTTTTGATATTTTTTTGTAGATAAATCGAGAACACATAGGACTATATCGACTTAGTTGAGGTATCGTTGGATTCAGGGGCGCAATAGGCATCAACTTACTGTGCTTTCATCCCTCTGCTACATCTTTTTTAGAAGTAGTTTTTTATTTTTAATATTTTTGGGAATAAATCGATTTTTTATTGGAATCATGAGCAAAAAAACATATAAATAATACGAAAAACCCGAAACATTCAAGAACGATAGATAAAATGTTATTTTACAAGGTACAATTCAACTATAGATTTAAATATCAGCGAACAAATGTTTATTTTTGTTGAAAATAATTTTAGCGCTGAAACTGTTTCTCTGCTCCAATTTCAGACAACCAGTAAAACTTCTCGAAGAAAATTTTAAATCTGTTTTTGAAATAGATTTTCGGATGAAAATATAGATACTTTATTATTTTTAATCTAATATAATTGAATTATTTAGATAAAATGCTTTTCAAATGGCTCTAAACTTTCTCAAAGAACTCTTCTGCCTCTACAAATACATTAAAAAATATAACTATTAGCATTCAACGGTAAATGTATATTTATATTAAAAATGTTATGATCATTATAACTGAGTATATTTCAACTTAAAAACAACTTTATTATAGAGCGGAATTTTTAAAATTATGTTGATGAATTTTTCTTCTTGAAATAATTTTTCTATGGACTCTAAACTAAAATTTACATAAAAAATTGCCTCTCATCAAATTATAGCATTTGCGTTTAAGTTATGCAACCAGTAAAACGCATATAAAAAATTTAAATACTGAATCTCTAAACTTACACCATAAATTAATAAATAATGTTACTGCTCAGGCAGGGAAATATTTAACTATATGATAGTTCAGTTAATTTTTTATATAAATGTAGAATAATAACATATGGATATGTATAATTCATTTTAGGCGTCTAAATGCAAAACCACACAAGTTCATTCAAATAAATTTTACTGAATACATTAAAAATTTAAAATATTATGAATAGTAAAAAGAATAATACATCTAAAGCATTGAATTTATCTGGTGCATTATTTCTTGAAAATATCTTGCATAAAAATGTAATTCAGGGAGTTTCTCTTGGGATAACGAATTAAATGGTGTATATAGATCTCAATTTTCCAAAATCTGTGATTTGTCGGGTTTTGCATTTAGACGTCTGATTTGATATGTACTATACAGGGTGAGTCTTAAATAAGTACAAATATTTTTAGGGGTAGTATATTTCGACGGCAGACACATACAGGTCTATGAGGTTTTTTTCGCGAAAAAAAATAAAAATTTTGTTTTTTTTTTTAAAAATTTAGGATTTTTTTTTAATTTGTAGTTAAAAAACACAATATCTTCATAATATGGCAACATAGCCAGTAGATAAAATTTACAAGAAAGAAAACCAGAAATGCTCCATTGGTTCTCAAAATTTAAGCGAAAAATATATTTTTTAAAATTTTTAAAGTAAAATATCTTGGTTATTTCGGACTTAAAAAAAAATGACAAAATGTGTTTCTTTTATCGAGATCTGCCAGCCCTGAAAATATTTGCACTTATTTAAGACTTACCCTGTATGTACAAAAATATAAATTATATACCACCGATAAAAAAAAACACCGTTCAGATAGTTTTGAAATGTCGATCAATGACAGTTCCCATATAATTTTACGTAAAAAATGACTTCATTTTCAAGCTATCTTTGACGCTGTTTTCTCGATCGTATGGTATAATTTTACATTAAACGACCGAATATATTGCCCTTTTTATTAAATTTTGCTGAAGCAACTTTCTTGTGTGATTTCTGAGAAGCGAGACTGGGTAGTTTGTTCCGATTTTGTACGCGCGAATACTCACGTCACACACAGAAGGCGTTCATATTGTTTAATGACTTGGGTAATTACGTGTACTGACTGAGGAAAACCGAAAATGTCGGTCAGAACCGTACCAAACCGTCCTTTTAAGGCCAAAAACGATATATGGAGCAATTCTATTGATAGAGAAACAATAGAGCGCTGTTAAAGTCGCACATAGCAATCAGGACAGTAACCAAAGAAAAATTCTGGGCTCACTTCTTTGGGCTCAAAAATCTACTTTTTAATTTTTCTTTACCTATACAGGGTAAGTCATAAATACGTGCAAATACTTTCAAGGCAGGTAGATTTTCAAATAAGTAAGTTCAAAATAACCAAGCTATTTTACTTTAGCAAATTTAAAAAAAAAATGTTTGCTTAAATTTTGATATCCACTGGATCTTTTCTGGGTTTTCTTTTTGTAAATTTAATATACTACCTAATATGTTGTCATATTATCAAGAAATTATGATTTTTAACTAAAAATTCCAATTTTTCAAATTTTTTATTTCGGGAAAAAATAAATCATCGTCGTGTTTCTGGGGTCGAAATATACTACCGCTAAAAATATTTGCACTTATTTAAGACTCACCCTGTATAAATATATTTCTTACGTGAATATAGAATAATAATAGTATTATCTATATAATAGAGAAGATATGGAAGTTAAACAACTAAGCAAAGAATCAGAGACAATCCTGAAATATTCATTAAGAAATTTAATTCCTACTTACTATAAAAATGTAAAAAATTGATAATTTTTTAGATGTATTTCACAGTTTTATTTAAATTACCTAAAATATTGAAAATAGTATAAATGTATAACTAACTAAAAGTTGAATTATATATGGTTAGTTTGAAACCAAAACAAAGTAATACTCTTGAGAATTTTAGTTTCAATTATTTAATAAAATTTTAATAAAAGTACTAAAAATAAAGGGTATGTCTGAGATATTTTTGAAATCAGAGAAAATATCTATGCTATCTAATACACTTCTAATATACAGGGTATCCCATTAAAAAAATGTTTATATCAATATCAAAATCATATAATTTAAACGGTTGAAATCCTGTTGTATATGGGAAAAAATTCTTCCCTAAACGAGAAAAAAATTGATACTACTGTTCTATTAGAAGGTATCTCTTAACACATTCTTAACTAGCAAAAGATAAGTGATAATGAGACTTCTATCAAATTAGGGACCAATTATTTCAAATGTTGTTTGTTTATGACCGATATACATTAAAATCTCGTTTTTGGTAAAAACAATACTCACGAATTTTTCAAAACATATCAACAATGTTTGTTCGCTTCTTTCACGCATAGTAGATTGCAATATACCCTTGTAAATAGATAAATTTGTCTTTCATTTGCAGGGTTTAAAGTAACTGAATTTATTTTAAAGTAACTGACCATCTCTAATTATTACATTTTAGTTGACTTAAATACTTTGATGGAGTGTATGTATAAATAAAACAATAGGTAACGAGTAAATAAACAAAACAAAATTATTACAACATTTTATTGTGCATATATTCCTGAGTGGGCATCGTATGATTTCTATGACGGTTAATATTTATTGATATATCGATAAAAACAAATATTGAGAAAGGCCCTCGAAATCATTTAGATCTAAATCATTAATCAAGATTATTTGGACTAATTGCATATTACTGATTGGCAAATATACAAAATTAGGATTAATTATTCTAAGCACAATTGAAGGCTTTATTTTTGTACGTAAAAAGTCACCTAAAAAACCTAAGTCACCCTATCAAATTTAAAAGCAAAAATTTATTTAAAAATAAAAACAATGACCATAGATGATAAATGATCCACCCTGGTTGAACTAGGTCAGTAATGAATACAACTGCAGCTATGTAGTCCTTGCTTTCTAGTGTATATAGTTTAAGTTAACCTTGAGATGGATCAGAATATGAAGAAAAAGGAGACGAGGCAACGGGTAAGACGCCATTTTACAGTTGGAGTTAATTTTTTGCAAACAAAAAGGCACTCCGTTGTGCAGCTGTTATTCCTTAACTTCTTCAATTAGACGCTCGGCGTAAACCGGGCCTTAGAGTTGGGACCTTCACAAACTGGCTCTATCTTTAATGAAGATTGGACAAGTATATATTTTTCTATGGTCTCATTTGTTTTTTAAAAGGTGTATTAGTGGGTAAAATTTTAAATGTTAGTGAAATCTTGACCTAGATGATACGAGGGCGCATCTAAATGTATCGC